CCTGGATAGAAGGGAATCTTCATCCGACCAAGAAAAGAAAGAGATCGGGGAATGGGGAGAGCAAGTGGGAGAGAGAAGCCTCCCTCAAACGAGGAGGAGGGGTGTTGCCGAATGGGACTCCGGTTAGGGGGGAAAGAGGAGGGACCCTATTTCGGGAATATCATGACAATGGGAGCAGCCCACGAGCCCGTTTTATCAAGAAAAGGGCTCTCTCCCTCCCCTCTTTCTCTCAGCTGCTGTGAGGCTTAGTTGTGGTATGGAGTGAGTGTGCCTCTGAATGAGACACTGTGTTACGGGCTACACGACATTCATGCCCCAGGCATGCTCACAAGTGTGGGAGCCGGATGGAAACAAATATTTACATCTACGCACACACAAAAACACATTGACTGTGATTTCATTTGGAGGATCCTCTTGGTGTCCATGTCCAGAGAGCATTTTCCTCCCAAAGCAGCTTCTACGGTGGTCCTTTTGTTTTCATGAACTCTTATCCAGCGTTCTCTACATCCATATTTCAGCACCTCTTTTAAATAACTGAAATTATTTCATTTCTCTGACTGGGACGGTGAAAAGAATCGCAGTCTGGGATGTCATTTCACCCTAAAGTGCTGAGACACAGTGTTAAACACGGTTTTATTGTTGAGGAGATACAGTATGTCAACATTATTACTCAGGTTAGGAGTCCCGGAGTAATTTTGAATTGCGCCAGCTCCAGTTTGCATACATCCATTGCAATGTGTTCAGGCAACGCCGACAATTGTGAAGGTTTCAGATGACGCAACTTTCAAAAAAAACTTTAAAATATGGACCTGACATTTGAATCATACCATTCTCTATACAAATGAGAAAAGTGCAGAATGAGTTTAAGGGGTCTCGGTGGATTGATGAGAATGGGATTTACAGAATAAGACCTGAAGACTGAACCCTTGATCTTCCCAAGGGGAAGTTACTCTATATTGGAGAGCAAGTCTTCAGGAGAGAAAGTGTGTGTAGAGTCAAGGCGCATCAACCTTTGCTTCAATGGTTCTCTTAGCAAAAGAGACACTATCATCTTCCTCCTACCTTCAAGCACACTTAAAATACACATTGCAACTGAAACCAGTAATATATGAGCAACACCTAGTAATCATTCTCCACCTTTACAGTAGATGTGTCTATGAAACATGATTATTATGGAATGATTTTTTTTTAAACACTGGGATATGCTTGGATTTCTAGCATTTATACAATATGGCAGTTTCAGGCCTAGTTCTCTTAAACTGTTCCACGTCCTCGGACTGATCCCAAAGTGTGGCTTGGGTTTCTGAGAGTCAGATGTACAGTACGGTTTCCAAGGCAACATACTTATCCATGCAGAAAATTGATGTGAAAAACCCTCGACAGAAAAATGAGAGATTAGACCTTCTAAACCCAAAAAAGGGCTTTGACATAGTGAACTAGTCTCAGCGCCTGAGAGGACATCACCGGTATCAATATAAGTCAATATTCGGAAAAAGATTCCAATCCTAATAATTAATACTTTTTTTCTATGATGTCACCAATATTCAAGAAAATGAGGTGGGACTGTGCAGAAACAATGCATAAATGAATTGACTAGACTACTAATCTGAATGTGTTCCCCTCAACTGCCATTTTGCACATCATTTTCAGATTAAAGTATTCTTTTGGTTAAGGCCTTATTCTGTAAAAGAATTACATTTTTCCACATGTTATCTGCATATTCAATACATGTTTCCTTCATTTGCTACTGGAGAGGCTTGTCCTTGTCATTTATTATGGTGCATTTCATTTAATGACCTCATTCAACAATTCTCATTCATGTCCTTAACAATGGCATACCACAGCACAATGAATTACAAATAAACGCAGGCCTTCTCATCGCTCAAAAATGTGTTTCTTCAGAAGCTCAGCTTTTTACAACAGTCTTTTTCTAATATCAAACAGAATGACCTTGGTTTGGACATGTGCACATAAAAAGGGATTTTTTTACGGTGACTACACAAAAATCTGAACAATACAATAAACGGGAATATTTAACTGGGTTGTGATAATCTTAATAAATGGATCTAATTGATGATTGCATAATCAGTATATACCAGAATAATCACATTTTCACAATTTTGAAGAAATATGCGAAGATGATTCGTTAAATAACACGATATGCGATTGCGATGTGATAATGCTTTAAGTGTGTAAAATAAATTATATTTAAATATATTTCAAAACTAAAAATGAAATAACCAACACATGTTTCACATTCTTTTTGTGAAAAGAAAGCATCCCTAAAACTTCTGTGTAAGTGTTTTACAGTAGCATTACATAAAAAAGCAAGTCTCAATTTAACGTCAGTGTAAACCAAGAGGTTTAGGGTTTTGGGTATGCCTACTTAAGGTTTATTTAACAACTGAAATTGAATAATCAAATGTAAAAAATAACACAACTATACTTAGTCTTCTCTGTATGAAATAAAAACTGATTATTATTAAAGCTTCATAAGTCATTAAGTTGAGCAGTGAGTGATTTTCTCTTTGTCTTTTGTTGTTTGATTAACATTAAGCACACAAGCAGGTTTATTAGGCTGCGGTCACTTTAAAGGAGAACTCCGGCACAAAATGAACCTTTGGTCTAATAAAACATTGTTACCTAGTCGACCGTTCTCTGAGATTTGTTTTCATGATAATCGAATAAATGTAAAGAGTTTTATCTCTAAAAACTGTTTAGCGTAGCCTATAACGGTAGTATATGGGGGCATTTAATAAGTAAAAAGAAATCGCTAGTTAATACCACTAACAAGGCTCAAAATAGCCCCACACTAACGCAGTAACATAATGAGGGTCCATACATTCAAAACTAAGCATTAAGAAATTTCAAAGTGTACAGACCATTTAATAAGAAGATATTTTATAAAGACAGTCCACTTCGTGTATACAGGTGGAGCTATCTTTGGAAAACAGTCTCGACTAGGGATGGGCAACGATTAATCGTGATTAATCGAGCCAAAATAAAAGTTTGTGTATACATAATATATCTGTGTGCAGTGTGTATAATTAATTTGTATATATAAATACCCACACATGCATGTTTCGGCGAGAAACGGAATACTAAATGAGGCAAAATAGTGGGCGTGGCTTTTTTTTTCTAACTAGCACCTGATTGGATCTAGAAAAATGGGTGTTTCATTCTGAAATGGGGGATGACGCAAGTTTACACACGCTGTCAATCAATGCTCGCTCGGCGCTCGCAAACACACGGCAGCTGTCAGTTGGAGGGGCGTGGTTATGGATGTTAAGGAGACACCCAAACCGTAAAGCCTACGTCATCGGGCAAGGTCCTCCAATGCAGAGGGGAGGGGCATTTTCAAACTTTGATTAAAGATTACGAAGCCAAACATTTTTTTTGTGTGGATTGACTTGCATGTATGAATTGTTCACCACAAAACATGACTTGCATGTATGAATTGTTCACCACAAAACAATCAATTTAGGCAAACAAAGTATGGTCAATTTTGATTTCATAGGGACTTTAAGAAATATGTGCATGTATATATTATATATATATTTATTCACAATTAATATTATATAAAAATATAAATATTTGATATATTAAGAACAAATTTTTCTTAAATATATACATGAATGTGTGGGTTTTTATACACACTACACACACATATATTATGTAAACACAAACTTTTATTTTGGATGCGATTAATCGCGATTAATCGTTGCCCATCCCTAGTCTCGACAAGTCGAACCATGAACGACGTGCCAGACAACTTGATTTGATTTTGCGCCAGAGTTCTCCTTTAAGATCTGCACAGATCCAATATATGTGTTTACATGAATACTCACTAAGGCAGACATTTTACATCATTTTGTGTGTATTTTGCCATATATTTTGCCTAAGCTGTGGAAGAGAACTGAAGCCTGGAGCACACACTGTCCGAGAGGAGGCTTTATGTGTGCGTGGATACTTCACTTATAACATTTAATGTTATAAAACATGTCACATGTAAACTCATTGTGTCCAGTCTCTGATGTCTGTGTCAACCTAAAACTTGGACTTTTTGTTATCTTTTGGAGTATTATTATCAAGCAGTTATTGCGATATTTCGATCATTTTGATGATGGTGCAACCCTAATAGAAGTTCTAATAGTTTTCGTACTGTTTATCAAAACTAAAAAGCTGTAAATGCATGAATTTACAGCAGAATCTGTTTTAGCTTATCAACACCAGATGTGGGTCAAAAAGTTACAAAAAAAGAGGTTCAAGAACTGAAATTATGGTAAAAGGAAAATGAAATGCCACAAGCAGCAGATATTATCTGCGCTTGGTCCCAAGACTCCCCACTAAATAGTAAATGCATTGCAACAACTCTATCAGAGCATGTGCGTGTGGGGGTTTGTGGCTCAAATACAAACTGCTTTATACCCACTTTGTATGAGAGAGGAGCAGATGGTCATATTAGTGCTGCTGGCAAGAAGGATCTCAACAAGCTCCCTACCAATGAGAGTGCACTCAAATGAGTTGACTACAACAATAACATTTTGTAGCACTATTCCGCTGGGTTTCCACTGCACTGCGATCAAACGTGAACTTTAACAGTGTTGTCTGTGGTAAGATGGCTCAGCATGAATGTAGTTTCCACCTCAACAACAGGAAGAGAAGCACAGCTCAGATGTCTTCAATTTCTAAAGCAAACACACCAATCTCAAACTCAACAACCTGCATTAAGCCAAAAACACAATAAAGTGGTGAATGGGCAGTGGTGTAGTTTGTTTGGAAACGAAAGCGAGTACTGAAACGAATTTATCAGATGATCGGCTTCCTACACAGATCCGCTTTTCCTGGGTCGGGCGTGATGGTGGTGGTGGTGGTGCTCGTGCACCCCATGCAGAAGGGGCGCAGGTGAAGAAGACACTCAAACAAAGGACATTAAATGTACTGATACATGCCCTCCCCCCTTCACTGATCCCCCCATGACCGCTTTATTAAAGTCTTACCTGCGTGCGTAATGTCGGACAGGTCATAGTTCTTGGAGGTGCGGGGGAACTCTTTTAGTTTGCGGTTGGAGAGGATGAGCGCTCCGCTGGACGCAGCTTCTTCCAGCGCCTTCTCCACGCTCCTGCTGGCCGCTACGGTCGCTGGCAGCTGGGCTCCATCCCCAGCAGCCATCAAACACGAAATATGGCCCAAATCTTACTCGTTACAACGACAATCACCCCTCCTAAACCTCCATGTCCTATGACGCAGGTCCAATAACGTTTCACACCGGGAAAGTAAGTTTTGGTACTCCAAAAGTGATGTAAAATCCAGTGATCGAGTAAAGTTGAGCGGGTGAGTTGACAGTGCGTGTGCTGGTGGGGCTGAGAGCAGAAGAGGCGGGGCTTACGGATTGAGTAAGTCTTGATTGACAGAGCGGACACACCCAGTACGAGCTCGGGAAATCAACACAAAAGCGCTGCTCTCATCGGAAGGGGGAAATGATAAAGTTTTTTGAGTCATTCGGAGATTTTGTAATACAAATTGTTCAAGCTTCACTGCTTCGAAGTTTTTGCATTGTTTGCATACAGATAGCAAGACTGAAAAGGTTTGCAATAGTACTGGATCACAAAGCATTTCCCTGTTCCAGATCCACTGAAATGACGTGCACTTTAGAGAGGAAATGAAAGACATAAATATTGCATTAACATTTTAGAATTAGTTCACCTTTATGGTTTTATGGATGTGAAAGGTTGTCTGGACTGAGCTAGCTAACCATACAAATTGGATTGGGCCTCATAATAATAATCCTACTTCCAAAAGTGGACTAAAATGATTAAAACATAATGTGTGTGTATATATACACATTTTGAGATGAAATTATCATAGCAAAACTTAATGCCTGTGTGTGTGCATTTTTTCAGCTATGAAGCAAGTATTTAAAAATGTACTTTTCAAACTCCAAAAAAAAAAATAGTATAGGCTATAGCCTACAAAAGTTTGATTGCTCTACTAACTTTTAAAAGTAATTACAATCTACATAATTTTCCATTTTAAATTTAGTGAAAATAGTCAGCAAAAGTCAGTTTTAATGTATAACCTTCAAAAAGCAGAAAATCTAAATCACCTGAGACATAAAAGTTGTTGAAGAAGGTATTGCCTTTTCCTGTCTTGACATATTGTATAAATGGATATGCGCCTACATATAGACCACTATTTGTTTCTGCTGTGTTGTTCGTTGTTGGGGCACATTTGCCCATGTAATATGCACAAAGCTTTCACCGAGTTATTGCTTACCCATGCATGCTTAATTTAGATCTGTTTTAGGCCTGACAGGGGCACAAAGTGGGTCACAAAATTATCCACTATTCTGTGTCATTACTCTCCATGGAACAAAACAGAGAGGAAGAGAGGGATTGAGTGAGTCCAGAGGAAGAGAAGGGATGAGAGGTCGTGAGAAAAAGTGAGGTCATCATGTGAAGCTGATACCAGGATCTGTGTTAAAACATGACTTGGGAATAACAAAATTAATAGTTTAATTAAGAATATATTCTTAAATTTGACTATATTGGATTAATTATTGTATACCCACTTTGTATGGATTCTTGTATCGTTTGTAAAGTTATGGCTCACAACTTTAGTGAGACTTTTATTTATATATTTTGTTTGTTTATTTATTTGTTTGTTTGTTTATTACCTTCTCTGTGTAGTGAAGTGATTATTTCTCTATTGCATGCTGTATGACCATGGAAGGGTCTTCATGTAACACAGCTTTGGTCAGCAACTCAATAACCGTACCAGACTGCTTCGGATAACTCAACTCAACTTTTATGTATAAAGTACTTTCAAAACTATTAGAATTGACTAAAGTACTGTACATGATAGTAAATAACTCTCAAATACATAGAAACATAAAATAACATCAAAGGACAACAAGAAAATTAATATGCAAAATATTTGCGCGCCTATACTAGGAAAAAAAAAAATCCCATGTGGTTACAAAGGTTTTCAGTATGCAAGGTGCACTGACAGTTTTCTAGGGGTGAATCAGGTTAAATGACATTTTTTACCCAGTTATCTCAATAGCAAAAAGGGTCCCAACATGAATTCACTCTTATATATTTATAAGAAAAAGTATAATTAGCCTACCCAAAAGAACTTAAGTGCACTTCGATCCATAAGCCCATCACTCGTGTCTTTCTTTAGATTGCATAACAGCGTCCCCTGGCGGCGTTGTCACATGCTAACAACGCAAAACGGCGAACTCTATCATTAATGAATCATTTTGAATCTATCTATCTATCTATCTATCTATCTATCTATCTATCTATCTATCTATCTATCTATCTATCTATCTATCTATCTATCTATCTATCTATCTATCTATCTATCTATCTATCTATCTATCTATCCATCTATCTATCTAGTTTGTTAATGGCCTACAATTTACAGTAATTAGGCCTTATTTCTTTGTTTGTTTGCTAGCTCGTTCATTATTATCATTATCATTATTATCATTGTTATTATTATTATTATTATTATTAAATTTACCAGACCAAAACACTGTTTAGTGTATTTACTGAATGAAAACTGTATTCGGCCTGTGTTCTCTTATTCTTCTCTTTACTTCTAAATGTGCAAAATACATTTGTAATAATTTGTATTTCTCACTTTTAATTACTTTCATTTCTTGTTATTGGTATTTATGTTATTTATCTGTAAAATGTTATTTGTCTGTTTATGATCTTTTTTTAAAGAATAATAATTTTGATGTAGGTAAAGGCTACCTTGCCTTACAATACTGTCTCTGTCTGGCAACATATCCTGTTGTTTACCACTGAAAATCCCAAAAGTTTCACACTCCTCCAGGTAAACACATTTATAAACCTCTTTTCTTGGCTTTCACATTGACCGAGCACGCAGGTGTTTGGAATAGGTTCATAGCAGAGAGGTTCATGCGCCTTTAAGCGGCAGCGCTTCTCTGATTGGTTGGATGTGGTCACGTGAACACTTCCTCCTCCAAAGGGGCCGTGCTCTGCTACTGTCTATGGCTCTGCTCTGCTGTTGTTTAGTTTACCTTTTGCCTCTGGAGGTTACGAAGCAAGACCACTGTGTAAGTCATTAATGTAAGTTACTATTCAAACTAATGATATGAAGGTACATCGTCAAGCACTTTTAAAACTTTGTATTTACTGTTTATGTGTGGTTAAATGACATTGGCGTTAAATAGCGTGCAAGAACAGTAACAGTGGTCGGTTGTCCTTATATTTATTCTGATATAGAGCTCGTTTATCTATATCTGTCTATATGTTTTTGCAACTCTCTCTACTTATATTTTCCATGGTACTCGTTTAACCCATCCCAAACATTGTATTTAAATATCCGTGTTGGGGTTGTGTTTGATTTATTTTGTGACAATGAGAGTGCTGAACTGACATTGAACTTTGAACTGAGAACACTAATGGCTCGTTTCCACTGAGTGGTACGGTACGGTACAGTTCGGTTCGGTACGCAATTATTTGCGTTTCCACTGTCAAAAGTTGTGAATGGTACCAAAAAGCCGAACCGTACCGTACCACTTTTTGGGTACCCTTCCGTTGGGGTACCTAGCACAGTGAAAGGGTACTAATGGCTTGTTTCCACTGAGGGGTACGGTACGGTACGGTACAGTACGGGTCGGGTCGGGTACACCCTATCAGGCTTGCGTTTCCACTAGGGGTGGGCGATATAGCCTAAAAATTATATCACGATATTTCAAGAATATTTGCGATAATGATATTTATCACGATATAGAAAAAATATATATGAAACAATGTTTTATTGGTGATTGCAGCTGGCTGGCAGCAGCATTAGTGCAAAAAAAAAAGTATAACATAACTCCTTATCATTTTATTTTAACAATAACTACAGTAATACATTAACAATATTAACAATAACTTCAGAAGCCTGCACAATATTGTCACCTAATAAAATTTACCTAAACTTTGAAGTACAAAAATAGTCTGTCTAATAGTCTGCCTTGCATAGTTTTTGGATTAGCATCAAATGAGGTATACAATACCTAATTTATACAATAATTGTATAAAATTGGAACATTTAGGGAAAAAAACATTTAGTGGGGAATAAATAAGAGACAATTGTAACACTAAATCTGGTAAAACTTTACACATTGCTCTTTGTATTGTACATTCATGAAAAAAAAAAACAAGGTAACAAATCAAAAGGATTAATTATTATATAGCATAGTCTACTATAAAATTGAGGCATGTTTAAAATGTATAGCACATCTGTTTAATGAGGCAGCAACATATGATCGATAGGACAGAACAAAGGCTATTAATAATCTTTCATTGCGCAAAAGTATTATGATATGAAAGGCTCCAATATATCGCACAGCGCTTATGCGCATCCCGAGCGCTGAATGATGCGCTTGAAGCAACACGGAGTCACAGCGCGCACGCGCAGCGCGTCGAATACTCCGCACTGAACAGTTCAAAGCACAAAGTAAATAAATATTGATGCGTAGCGTCGTGTATAATATACAGCATCTAGCTGTGCAATCGTTTATCGAGTCCTTTCTTTTAACAGTTTTACATTTCAGTTACTGTGCGCGTGATGAACAACAGTGCTCTGACTCTAGTGTTTTGCTCTAACAGACACCCGGCCGGTAGAAAGTAACATGATGATTTAACGTTACAGCAATAAAGTCCAGCAAGATAAAGTTGTGTTATGCGAAACCATAGACCTTTTATTTACAAATATAATAATAGTAACATTGAATCATCTTAGAAAGAGTTTAATCGTGTTGACTGTTACCCGAACTGCGGAAACTCTGAAGGAAGATTAGGCGAATGCAAAATGTACGCTAGTAGGGAAGTGGTGAAACGAGTTTTCATGCATATTTGACAAAAAAAAAAAAAAAATTGTGTTGTTGGAGATCTGACCTCTTGTACTCAAACAACTTCCATACTATTGAAGTAGCGCCCTTTTTAGGAACTAAATCTTGATCTGATCCGGAGGCTTACATGCTGCTGTGTTGTTGTGCACGCGCTAAGTAACGTAAATACGCCATACGTCATCATATCATCAATATCGCGATATGACAATTTTTTATCATGTAAAATTTTATACCGGTATTATCGTGGACGGTATGATATGGCACAGCCCTAGTTTCCACCGCCAACAGTACCCTTACTTGATAGGTGTGTTATGCTGGAAAGAAGCGATCAAGCGCGAAGAAAGCGACATAGTAAACAACAATGGATGACAGACAGCAGATCTTGTTCTTGCTTCTCGACATGTTTGTCACTAGAAACAAGCGCTGGCATTAGGCGTTTCCAAGAAGCCAACGCAAAGTCCGACTCAGGAGAATGATCCCGAGGACGCGAGTCCAGTAATTCTGTTAATGGAACAGCGCGTTCTTGAACGCAGCCGGTGTTCTGACAATTCATGCTACCCATCGAGATTTCCTACTTACCGGTTATGCGCATGTGCAGACTCACAGTTTTTTTTTTTTTTTTTTTTTTTACAAAAGGTACATTTTCCTGTTATAATGTATAATTTCCCTTTAAAAAAATGCTTACTACCAGAATATTTGTACGGTAAGCCAGCTGAAAAGGAATAACTGAAAGTTTCAGTTACTATAAGAAAAGGTGTACTTTGACAAGTCAAAGATGAATATTTTATGATAATTTTTACTTTTCACACCGTTTTAAAAATAAAAACAGTAGTCTACAGTATACAGTAGCTACTCATAACTTAGAATTGTATTAGAATTGTATTTCATACGACTTTAATCGGCATTCTGTGATCAATTCGCGCTACGTTAGCATTTTTCGACAAGGCAGCAAAAATCGACAGAACACCGGCACTCTGCTCGCTCTGGCTATGCGACTCCGGTTATCTCTGTATGTTCATTTTAGGCTACAATAAAACGAAATATGTTATAAAACACCACTCTGCTTCTTTTCGATTTCATTTCAATACATTTTAAACATTCTAAAGCATACAAATGTGGTTCAGGCAACGCATAGCCTATTGATTATGTTCTGCACATAACATTATATATTTATAACAAAACTAAATATAAAACAACCCTGCCTCTTTTCGTTTAAATTTAAAAAATATTAAACATATTCCAGGCAATATGTAATGTAATGTATTGCATATCGCATTGGTACAAATGTTGCAATAAACAACATTACAGATGATCTTGTAATGAAATAAAAAATGACAAAACTATCTCTTTTTGTTGAATTTCAGTTTTATCAATAATAGCCATTATAAAAGTATAAGTAAAAAGTACAAAAATATATACAGTAAAGCTTAAATATAACATCAAGAAACAATTCAGTCAGTCAAATATACTCGGCGCTCAAAGATATGAAACTTCGAGCCCGTTCTCATCCCAAAGCGCCATATAGGACGCTTTTGCAAAAGCGTAAATATCCAACGCACATGGCACCCTTTAACGTGAAATGAGACGCAGATATATTTGGGCAGAAGGCGCCCCCTAGTGGTCTAACCCTTACCCTACACCATACCTAAACTTAACCATAACCGAAACGTCTCATTAGACGTTAAAGGGTGCCATGTGCGTTGGATATTTACGCTTTTGCAAAAGCGTTGAATATGGCGCTTTGGGATGAGAATGCGTTGATGTAGCCTTCTGCCAAAACTATTGGCCAGGGAACGAATTATAGATTCACAAGACCAAAGATCACCTGTTAGGTTTATACAAGACGAACCATATCTCATGTTTAACCACTACAAAGAAATCCGAGTCAGCGGCAAACATCAGAACGACTAGCCGAGGAAAGGCTGTTCCAGGCGGGGGACACGAGCGTGAGCGTCCGGTGATCGCTTAGAATGGATCTCAGTCAAATTATCATAAATCTATAAATAAACCACAGATTTGAGCTTTAAAAAACTACTTTCTCGCCTGAAAAACTCTTAAAACTACATTCCGTGACACAATAACAGTAGAATTATATTTAAACTGTATATACTTACTTCTAATGCCCTTGTAGCGCACGCGAGTGACGATACTCTGTCTACCAATCACCGTTCTGCAGTGAGTCTAGCTCCACCTTTTAGTACCTTTTCTCAGTGCTAGGTACCCCAACGGAAGGGTACCCAAAAAGTGGTACGGTACGGTTCGGCTTTTTGGTACCATTCACAAGTTTTGACAGTGGAAACGCAAATAATTGCGTATCGAACCGAACTGTACCGTACCGTACCACTCAGTGGAAACGAGCCATAAAAGGTGGAGCTAGACTCACTGCAGAACGCTGATTGGTGGACAGAATCTTCACTCGCGCGTGCTACAAGGGCAGTATGGCGCTTTTCCACTGCATAGTACGGTACGGTTCGGTTCGGTACGGCTCACTTGTGGTGCTTTTCCACTGCATGGTACGGTACAGTACGGTTCGCTTCAGGTCGCTTTAAATGGTACCTGGTCTGTTGAGGTTCCAAGCGTACCGTACCGGTACTAAAATGTGACGTGAAACACTGCAGATCACTGATTGGTCAGACAGAATCGTCACTACCAGCGTCACTACTAGCGTCATTGGATTTGCGACACGAGACACGAGACACTTTTTTAGCAGTATTTTGTTTTGCTGCCATCAGCCTCATTTTAAACACATTTTTCCATCTAGCAGTTAAAAACAACCACATACCGAGAATCAGGAACACCATCCCCTCGATAGTCTCCATTGTTCCTGTGTTGTGGGTTTGAAAATGTGGCGCTTTTAAGATGATGTCATGGCAGTAGAGGCGCGCGCAAATAACGATCAGTCCCACACACTTTGAAGGGGTAGCTACTACTGCAGTGGAAACGCAAAGCGATCCGAACTGTTCCGCGCCGAGTCGAAGCGTACTGGGCCGAACCGTACCGTACTATGCAGTGGAAAAGCGCCTTTAGAAGCATACAGTTGAAATATAATTCTACTGTTTTTTTGTCACGAAATGTAGTTGTAAGAATTTTTCAGGCGAGAAAGTAGTTTTTTTAAAGCTCAAATCTGTGGTTTATTTATAGATTTATGATCATTTGACTGAGATCCATTCCAAGCGATCACCGGACGCTCGCGCTCGTGTCCCCCGCCCGGAACAGCCTTTCCTCGGCTAGTCGTTCTGATGTTTGCCGCTGATTCGGACGTCTCTGTAGTGGTTAAACATGAGATATAGTTCGTCTTGTATAAACCTAACAGGCGATCTTTGGTCTCGTGAATCTATAATTCGTTCCCTGGCCAATAGTTTTGGCAGAAGGCTAGTTTCATATCTTTCGGCGCTGAATTTGTAGCCTATTTGACTGACTGAATTGTTTCTTGATGTTATATTTAAGCTTTACTGTATATATTTTTGTACTTTTTACTTATACTTTTATAATGGCTATTATTGATAAAACTGAAATTCAACAAAAAGAGAGAGTTTTGTCATTTTTATTTTTATTACAAGATCATCTGTTGTTTATTGCAACATTTGTACCAATGCGATATGCAATGCATTGCATTACACATTGCCTGGAATATGTTTAATATTTTTAAATTTAAACGAAAAGAGGCCGGGTTGTTTTATATTTAGTTTTGTTATAAATATAACGTACATACATGCAGTGAATATAATCAATAGGCTATGCGTTGCCTGAACCACATTTATGTGCTTTAGAATGTTTAAAATGTATTGAAATGAAATCGAAAAGAAGCAGAGTGGTGTTTTATAACATATTTCGTTTTATTCTTGCCTAAAATGAACATACAGAGATAACCGGAGTTGCAGAGCGAGCAGAGTGCCGGCCGCGTTCAAGAACACGCTGTTCCATTAGCAGAATTACTGGACTTGCGTCCTCAGAATCATTCTCCTGAGTCGGACTTTGCGTTGGCTTCTTGGAAACGCCTGTTTTCAGTGTACCCGACCCGACCCGTACCGTACTGTACTGTGCCGTACCGTACCCTCAGTGGAAACGAGCCATTTATCACAAATGCTGCAAATGATAAATAGAGTTAGTTTGTGAAATAAAGTATTGTCTGAGACTCTGAGTCTAAAGGTCCATGGCAAAATAATGGACAATGAAACAATTTACAGTTCCGGGTGTCCAGTAAAATATAAGAATATAAGCATAAGAAGAATATGCTGACATATTGATTGTATTAGTTAACTGGAAAACCCTGAATGACTTGCATATGAGGAAATGGTTGATTCAGACAATTACTAAACATACTGGAATAGGAAAGGCAAATGTTTTCTTGCCTTAAGAAAACCATCATCTTAGAAAAATGTTGTGGATATTGTTGATTTGATTATGTTTGTCTTTTTGAGTTTAAGGACATGAGTGTACCAGCCATCACAGACGCTAAATGCGTTTTGGAAGAGAAAATGGATGAGGGCATCCCAGACCTTCCCAGTGGTCCACTTGACATCTACAGGAAGAGAGCATCCTTCAGCTGGAAGGACATGATGCGGTATCTGGAGGGTGATGAAATCATTGCATTCAAGGTACATGTAGATGATTATGTTTTGCTCATCCTTTTATTTAATTTTTTTTGTCCAAGAAAACTACACATTTAGTGACTATGATTGCCGTTATAACATTGTTACCATATGTTACATACCAAGTCCTGATTTTAATAATGTTCCAAAGATCCTCTTTTAAACAGCACAATTATACACAATATAAAGTGGGAAGTTGTCAAATTTATCAATAAAAAGTAACATTTCAAATGAATGATTCCTCCTTTTGCCCAGTCTGAGAATGTCCACAGTAGTGAAGGGCGCTTTCGAAACACTGCTTCATGTAGCTATGAAACATTTACACATATTTTGTTTAGAATCGGTGCTTTGGAGACCATTTCCACTCACCGAGTCATTACGTCAGCAAATAAGTCTTAGTTACGTCATACAGTTTCAAACCTTTCAAGCATTTCAAAATTCGAACAGTTCGCTGCTCAGTGATCGTGTGAACCCATAAACAAGTGTGTAATTTTTTTAACAGATATCATGTCAGTTTTATAATGTGGGTTAGTTTTTAATTTTAATTATGTGGGAGAATATTGAATTGCTTTAAAAATCATGCCCAATGATATTAATGAAAGAACAGTTATATTTGTAGATTACATTTAATTGATTACACTTTCATGAAAACACTTGGTTTTGTAAAAGCTGTAATTCTAAATGTTTGAGTTTTCGTTGCATTTAGTGTTTTGACCAGCAGGCGCTGCCAACCTGTGGCGTTTTGAGCTCTTTGTTTTGCTAAACAGTTAATTAAGTTGAAGCATTTGTTTGGAAAAGCTTTATTTCTCCAATCACTAGTCTATTGTCATTGATATCGATTTGTTTCTGTTTCTCTCTCTCTGAGCAGCAGCACGTGTTCAGAACATTGGAGAGTGACCCGCTATTTGCCCGGCAGCCTGGGGAGGATGTCTCAGTGGAGCAGAAGCGAGAGCTCACCTTCCGCCGCTGTAAACAGCTATTTAAGTATGACTTTTTAACACGTGATGATGTCATGCAGAATCCCTGGAAGATGACCATCTTCAATGACTGCCTGGGAATGTATGACTGGTCTTTGGGAGCCAAGTACTTGCTTAACAAAGGGGTGAGCCCATTTCACTACATGCCCTCCAGAGCCCATAGCTTAAAGGCATAAAAGAGAAGTTGAAATTGTCTTTTCTTCCCTATTGTGATTTATATCAAAGTGAAATTGCTTCTGGGATGTACAGTAACACACTGCCTTCCCCAAAATAGTTTGTAAGCCTTACAAAATAAGAATAACCCCATATAAAGCCGCTGGATACTCATATTTTGTTTTGTTTTTTGTGGATAATTGCATTCTCTTCATCATGCATTATTGTTTATTATTATTTGTGATGATTATTTAACAACTTTTAAACATGAACCATTTGTTTTCAAACATAGATGTTTGGAGCCACAGTGGCAAACACAGGATCTCAGAGGCACCTTAAGTTTGTGAAGGACATTGAGCAAATGATGGTAAATGATCTGGGTTGTTTTTGTGTGTGTGTGTGTGTGTGTTTATAAAATACAACCATAAAATATTTGTTGAAGAACTTGATTGAAAGCTTCAGTGTACTGAGTAAATGTGCAATATTGATTGCATTCATAGCAAATATGGATGGCTTGGCATAATGATGTTTAATGATAATGATGTCAACTTTGCAATTCACTATTTAAAGGAAAATACTGTTTTATATTTGCTTTAAAATATCAACGTAAGATTATTATTTGCTTTTATAGATAATCATATTTTGGCTGCTCAAAGTATTATAGGATGATTTTATGATGGCTATTCTCAGTAGGCCATAAACAGGAAGTTCCAAGGTGCTATCTGTGTGTGTGTGTGTGTGTGTGTGCGTGCGCGCGCGCGCGTACTGACAGCAAATTAACATTGTCTCTCTCTGTTTAGACATTTGGATGCTTTTCATTGACAGAGCTGAGCCATGGCAGCAACACAAGAGCCATGAGGACGACAGCCAGATATGACCCCAGCACTCAGGTACTCTACTACCAGATGTGATGGTGTGAACCATACCTAGATATAACAGAAGTCTCAACGCATTGCATTAATTTAGCATATCACTGAAAAGCATGTTGCTTATAACTTTTTTGAATGAGATTAAACGAATATGCCCTTACAAATCATAACTGTTGATTTATTCATCCTGGTAAATGTTGATTTAATAATAAGTAATAAATACAACAATATTACATATTTAATTCACGTTATCTGAACAATTCAATTCACAATCTGACAATATGTAGCCTTTTAAAGAACATACAGTATTTCTGACTTCTATGGCTACGTTCACACTGCGACCTTTAGTGCTGGATTCTGATTTATTGCTTATTGTTCACATTGTTGTTTTAAATGTGGCCAAAATCAGATTCCAGTGTATACAGATTACAGTGTGAGCATATGACCCGTATGTGCAAAAGAACGGTAAAAAGACGTCACGCAGCACACTGTCTTACAGCAAGGTATGAAATTACATTACTTTAGATGTAAACACAGAGGACATTAATGACATTATTTATAATGTAAACTGACACGGAAGCCAGCGAATTTATGCGCAGGTAATAAAAAAAAAAGACAAGGGTTTGAAAAAGAGAGAATATAAAGAGCTGTCACTCGAATACATGTGAGTTCTGGCACATCACTGTCCTTCCACTGACTACTCTTCGCAATGTTCTTGATAACTTTGGGTATTTGCTAAAAGTTGCATGAATTCCGATTTGACTGTTCAGACTGAGGTCACATTGCAAAACTTCTGATCTGTATCAGATTTAGTACCACATATGGAAGTGGCACAAATCGGAATTAAAAAGATTCATATCAGATTTCATGTGGTTTGTGCTGTTCACACTGTCATGAGAAAAACAGATCTCAAAAAAAAAAAAAAAAAAATCGGATTTGTGGCATATTGACTAGCAGTCTAAACGTAGCTTATAGCTCAATCTCCCTTTTTTTTCATGATTCTTTGACCTGTTTTTTACAATATTTTTTTCCTTTTGTTTATTATGCCTGATGGTCCTAAAGCAGCTAATGTATGTTGTTTTAAAATCCGCAGGAGTTTGTGATCAACTCTCCAGACTTTGAAGCAGCAAAGTTCTGGGTAGGGAACTTGGGAAAGACAGCCACTCATTCAGCCGTATTTGCACAGCTTTACACCCCTGATGGACAATGTCACGGCCTTCACTCTTTTGTAGTCCAAGTATGTGCGAAAGAACATTTTCAGTTCATTTTCTTGTCTTGCTAGAGCAGCTGTGACTAAAGCAGTTTTAATGTCATTTAATTTAATAGGTCAGGGACCCAAAGACCTTGCTGGCAATGCCAGGAGTGATGGTTGGGGATATTGGAAATAAACTGGGTCAGAACGGTCTGGATAATGGGTGAGTTTAATGCTGGACTGTGGACTGATGAGATGTTGTGATTACAGTATTTGGTCATTAGAGGGCGGTAGTAGAAAATCCATCTGACTCGGAGTCTCACTTAATCTCTGTAATAAAATATCCCTCTGCCTAGTGCCCATATAATGTTATTCTTCATTATACTTTTCAGTGAAACAATAAAAAAAAAAAAAAACGTATTTTGTTGTGCATAATAAATAAGTGATTTTGTTTTTGTCAGTTTTGCAGTGTTTTACAATCTGAGGATACCTCGGGAAAACTTGCTTAACAAAACAGGAGATGTTACGCCTGATGGGCGCTACGTTTCACCTTTTAAAGTAAGCAAAATTGTATCAAAAGAACAGCATTTATTATTTTTTTTATTGTTAATCATTAACAATAGTATATTTTAATTTCTCACTAACCTAGATTAATAAATGCTGTAAGAAGAATGGTAACACTTTACAATAAGGTTTCATTTGTTAAAATTAGTTAACTACATTTGTTAACATGAACTAACAATTAACAATACTTCAACATACTTTTTTATCTTTATTAATGGTAATCTCAAAATTTACTAATACATTTTTAGGATCAAATTTATCTATTAACATTAATTAATGCACTGTGCACTAAAATGAACAGTAACATTAACAAAAATAATAAACTAATTAATGTCTGTACTAAACTAACTAATAATAAATTCTGTAAAAGTATATTGCTCCTTGTTAGATCATGTTAGTTAATGCATGAACTAATATTAAAAAATGAGACCTTTTTGTGAAGTGTTACCAAAATTATTGTTTATTGTTAGCCCATGATATCTAATGTATTGGCTAATCTAATGTTAATGTACTACCTTATTGTAAATTGTTACCAATTAACTTTAACACATCTTAATATATATATATATATATATATATAGTTGTGCTATATAGAATTAATGGCAAGGAATTAATTAGTGGCCCTAATTGAAAGTGGCAGAGAAATCACATTCTTAAATAAATTAAATTCTTTTAATTCAATTTAAGGTTAGATTTTTGGCAATTTTTTGAATGAAAGATCAGAAGGATAAACGATGCAGATTTATTTTTTACAGCCAGTTTTTATCATATTTACCAGGGGTGCCATTAATTTTGAGCACAGTATTTTATTGATGAACATGGGAAATAATAGAGCCATTTTAGTGTGTATCCGTGTAGACATCTTGCAGGCCATAAACCCTTCGGTTACTCTGCAGTGAGAGAACGCAGTGGTGCAGTGGCTGTTATTCCAGCTGCTGTGCTGTGCTATGCAAGATGTACGAGAAGGAATTCCTATGCTTTCATTTCAAACAAACAGGGAGTTTTTAATCACAGGAAAAGCCAGGTCGTCAGCCAATGGCACTGACAGAAAGACATAAGGGGTTTTTCTGAAAACAAACAAAGGCAAGAGGTTAAGGATGAATGAATGAGATTTCGTTCGCCCTTCTTTTTCCTCACATTCTTTTATTCTGTGTTTTGGTCTCATCATCTCTGCTATGCGTTTTTAGTTACTTCAGGTGTCTTTCCATCCTGTTTTTTTCCTTACCGTACACGTTCACTGGTTCACAGGACCCCAATAAGCGGTTTGGGGCGTCTTTAGGGGCTCTGTCAGGAGGCAGGGTGAGCATTACGAGGATGGCACTGGTCAATCTGAAGCTGGCGGTGACTGTGGCTGTGCGATTCTCCGCCACACGCAGACAGTTCGGTCCCAAAGAGGACGAGGAGATTCCGGTGCTGGAATATCAGCTACAGGTACAGAATACTGACACACTCCAGTGGAAACATTTCAAGAGTAGGGATAAGGACCGTGGATAAGGTATAATTATTTTTGTTTTATCTGCCTTTGTTTAGTCATGATCTGCCTTTAATTTATCATTAATAAAAAATCAAATAAAAAAATGAAAGCTTTTAATTAAAATAATTTCAACTGAAACTGAAAAGTAATGTAATTTAATTTATTAGAATAAACAAAAATCCAATGTGAGCATATTTATTACTTTTTGTATTTGAAAATCTACAAAAATAATGGTCACACTTTGTTTAAAAGTACTGTTGTACATGTATGTACTTGTATAAGTACTTTCTCGTATTTCACTGTAACTGCATAACTGTTTATAAAGTGACTGTATATAAATCAACTTATATATATATATATATATATATATATAGATATGAGAGAGATATACATACATATACTGTAGATATATACTAAGATGTTTAATCTCTCACACACTATATATATATATGAAGAGTTCAGATGCAAAAGCCTCTAAGTGCCATCTGAAATTTTCTTCTAGAATGATCATTTTTATCAAACTTGTATATTTAAGTTCAGTTATTTCACTTAAATGGCAATGATAATTACCTATTAATTGTTATTTAAGTAAAATTACTGAACTTAAATATACAAGTTTGATAAAAATCATCATTAAAGAAGAAAATTTCAAATGGTATTTATAGGCTTTTGCATCTGAACTCTTCATATATATAAATATATATATATCAAAATTCATACTTATTAAATTCACTAAATGACCAAAAGTGGAACTGGCAAATTGGAAACATTTAGAAATTCGCTAAACATTTAAAGGTGGGGTAGGTAGAATGTTTCTACAAAAACCTTTTCCCAAATTTGTTTAATTAAAATGTAAGTACAATGAAAAATAAAGTATACAAAAAATCGAGTGTCTATAGTCCTCTCAGTGCTGCAATAAACACAGCTATGACCAAAAAGTCTTTGGATAAAGCAAGAAGTCAGACGAGAATCAATATGAGCGGGGCTTTCCAGCCGTGGCGATAACTGACAATCGGGCTGAAAAGTGACGGCAACAGTGCTTTCATGGAAGCTCTTACATGTAAAACACCGTATATGTTATGAATCTTCATCACAGTGTAACTGATGCTGACGGGAAAACGTGTATCAATGCAACCTGTTTTTATTTGGGCTGTTTTTAGTTTTTATGTTACATTTGTAGGGATATGACCAGCAGTAATCTTTTTGGAGTGTTTTCTTCCACTTTTCAGTGTTTTTTTTTTTTTTTCTTTTTTCCAGGTATCACTGAACAGTTAGATCAAACTCACTGCTTTTAAGCTATTTGTCTTTTGACCCATCCTGTTCATGTGCTTCATCCTCTGCTTCAGCAATGGCGTCTTATTCCATTTCTGGCTGCCGTGTACGCGCTGGAGCACTTCACCAAATCCTTCTTCATGAACTTTGTCGAATTTCAAATTGGACTCCTAATGAAGGACAAAAGCAACAGACAGGTATAGATCATTTGCTTTAAATATGCTGAAAATATGACCATACAAAACATCTGAAATTCAGAAAGTCGTAATCTTTTAGTATTTGATCATATATACTAGATTGTATGTCACTCATCAGGCTGAACTAGGCAGAGAGATCCATGCCATATCATGCGCTAGTAAACCTCTGGGATCGTGGACAGCCCAGCGAGGCATTCAGGAATGTCGGGAGGCGTGTGGAGGACACGGCTACCTTGCCAGTAAGGAATTTTTAAAATCTTCATAAACTAAATGTTTAATTGAAGCATAAACCACGGTGGCCCAGTAGTGCAGGACAGAATGAAAAACAAAAAACAAATGTTAGTTAACAGCACTACGGAATCAAGACATAACAAAACAAGTTCGCCACAACACAATGGAAAAGCTCCTGCTCCTTTCTCAGCGTTCGTTAAAGCTAAGCACTTTATATTATAGGTAATGGTCTAATATTATAATCCATATTTTGGACTTTCTTTTTTACTGTATACCCATTTTTTTCATAACCCTTTCAACTGCACTTATTGCTTTTTTAAATTAGCCAAGTTATTTATATCTATGTGAATTTAAAGGGATAGTTCACTTTGAAATTAATTTTTGATATGTTTTAGCTTACCTCAAGGGCATCCAAGATAGGTGTCTTTGTTTCCACAGCATTTTCAATTTTGACATTTTTCGGTCAAACCGATGTTGTCTGTCAGTCCTATAATGCAGGTTTAGGGGGTCCACCTCAAAGAGCATGCACAGAGAAGTCAAAATTAAACATGATTTAATGACTTGTGAATGTAAGTACACACTGATGGCCTAAGACACGAAACGAGCGGTTTGTGTGAGAAAACTAACAGTATTTATATCGTTTTTACCTCTTGTTAACAGCCGTCGAACTGATCTGTATCAGATGTCCAACTGAACCGAACTGAACCGTGTCCAACGTTACTCCCGAAGTGATCTCTCTTGCGTCTACGTCACGCATTGTTTACACAGAGATTTCGGAAGTTTTACCTTTCACTAAACATATTTAGATATACCGAAATCGTCTTCCATTGCGATTTCCCGTATATCTAAATATGTTTAGTGAAAAGTAAAACTACCGAAATCTCTGTGTAAACAATGCGTGACGTACATACGCACACGATTACGTCCGGCGTAACGTCTGGAGACGGTTCAGTTCGGTTCAGTTGGACATCTGATTCAGATCAGTTCGACGGCTGTTAAAAAGAGGTAAAAACAATGTAAACACTGTTCGTTTTCTCACACAAACCGCTCGTTTTGTGTCTTAGGCCATCAGTGTGTACTTACATTCATGAGTCATTAAATCATGTTTAATTTTGACTTCTCTGTGCATGCTCTTTGAGGTGGTGACCATAGACCTCCATTATAGGACTGACAGACAACAACGGTATGACCAAAAAAATGTCGGTCCCACTTTATATTAAGTGGCTTTAAGTACTATGTACTTGCATTGAAATTAATAATTTGATACAATGGAGTTATTGTGTACATAGATGTTTTTACATTGTACTTATATTTTAAAAATGCCAGCATGTAATTACAGCTATAATTACTTTATGTAATTACATTTGTAATTACACAGTTGACCCTCCCCTCACACCTTAACTTACCCTTAAACCTACACATACCACCACACCATTCCCTAACCTTACCCGTATCACACCTCAATAGCAGCAAAAGTGTTTTACAATACAACAGGAACAAAATAATACATTGTACTTAATGTTTAATGTAAGTGCATAGTACTTAAAGCCACTTAATATAAAGTTTCAAAATTGAAAATGCTGTGGAAACAAAGACACCTACATCATGGATGCCCTTGAGGTAAGCTAAAACACATCAAAAATTAATTCCAAAGTGAACTATATCTTTAAAGTGTAAAGCCCAGTACAGTAAAAGTATACATAGTCCCCATTTGTGTGTGTGCACACAGGACCATTTTATTTGTTAGTGGCAGTTCCTTTGGGTTGTGGCTTGTTGTGTTGTGGTTTGTTTCCATTGTGTTCTTATCTTGTGTTGTGGCTTGATTCGCTATGTTGTTAACTTATGTTTGCCGTTTAAACTTGTTGTGTCATTATGTTGTGCACTAATGGGCCACTGTAATAAACACCTTGTAAAATATCAAAAGAAGAGGTGAACTATGGGGAACAAGCTGAACTTTTAGTTCAACTTGTTCTTATCTGTTAATCTGATTATCTATTCGTTTGAAGTGAACCGGCTGGGAGACGTGCGCGATGACAATGACCCAAACTGCACTTATGAGGGAGACAACAACGTTCTCCTTCAGCAGACCAGCAACTATCTGCTTAGCTGGCTCCAGCACAAACAGGAAGGTCTCTACACACTAGAGCCTTTTCTTTATAGTCCATCTTGGTTTCTCAATAGAAATAATTAATGACAGTTGTATAATGTTTGTTAACCATGACATGCAGATCATTCTTTGCATGCTGTTTTTTTTTTTTTGTTTTGTTTTTTGGGGTTATGCAGAATATGAAGAATTATTTTTGTGTCTGATGTAGATTTGAAATGTCTTGCTTTTTCTGCTTCTTTTCCTCAATCAAGGTAAAGGAAGGATTGAATCCCCCCTTGAGACTGTGAACTTTTTAGAGGACATGAGCAGCATTCTGCAGAGCAAGTTCACAGTTGGCTCAGTGGAAGAGTGCATGAACTCAGCCGGTACGCAACATTAACACTACATTCCCCATATATGCACAACCACACGCACAAATCACATTATTCATCTAGCATTCACTCCTCTCAGGTACCTCTGTTCCTCTGGTGCTCTTTTTAGCTTTTCTTTTTTTTTTTTTTTTTTTCAGTTTAAACCGTGTAACTTACGGACTCCATTGAAACTTTGATTTGTGGATAATTTCAGGATTTTAAGTAGGGCTGTTGGTCAATTAAAAAATGTAAATGTTAGCAAATGTTCTTTTAGTCCTGATTAATAGCACTTCAATTTAAAATGTGTAATTATAAATATATTTCGCATTGAATCTCCAAATTAATATAAAAACAACATAAAAAAACATATTGATATTTTAAATGTTTGTTTTAATGACATTTGTTCAACTTAATTAAATAAGTAATTATTTAGTATAATGTATTAATAATTACTGCTACTTCAGGAATTGTATTGTTAATTATTTTCCACAGATAATATTAATTCCAGAAATTAACACATTATTTTTCTCAGACTTGTTTTAAGGAAATTTAAGATTAAAATTTAAAGACAGATTAAGGTCAAAGCAGGATTATGTCATTGTAATATTTCCATACTATATTAAGATCTCTCTATATTGGTATTGATCTTTTCTCATATCTCTTGAACCACATAAACACTGTAAGCATAGTGTTCTTATGGTGTTCAAAACATTTTTGGGTTGATTCTATCAAATGTATCACTCTAGTGCAGAAGTTAATTTACACAACCCAAAATTGTAATACTTTTCTAGTATTTTCTTCAGGAACTTTAAATCTAGTTCAGTTCTGTTACTCAGCTAGTGAAGCATTAGTTTTGTTTAGAGTCATTTTTCATTCACTCTCAGAGGAAGCCAAATAAACAAGCTGAGCCTCGTGTCATTTTCATATCCCACTTTCATGGGGCTGGTTTTGTGTAATACAAGATGTGTGTGTGTGTGTCTGTGTGTGCAATGCTGTTTTCAAGAGCACATTATCTAATACATAAACCGTCACACCTCCACCGCACACCGAGAGAATGTGAGAATCTGCGTCACGCTGTGTTTTTGTGTGGTTTACTGTTAAAAGTGCTCCTTGATGCAGCAGACGGCTCCAGTGGGAGAGTTTTACATCTTTAACTGAGCTACACATCTGCTAAACATCTGCTCTCTTGATTGACCTCATTCCTCAGCTGGTGACTCAAATCATTCTTGCCCGGTTACAAGGGTCAGAGGATCATCGTTTTAATTGGACAAGGACAGGGAGTGGACTGTTTGGGTATTAACTGACTTGTGTCACCTATCGCATCATGTGAAAAGCGCCAAGGGAGTTTTTAAATGCAAGAGCAGTTTTAATATTACTCACTCCAGCTGTTTTTCATCAAAACTTTGAATACTCTTTTCTATACCTATAACGGTACATGTCTTCAATCAGTCCACTTCAGGCCAACTACGTATGACACACTAAAAAAATAGGTCAACTAAACATTCTGTCATAATTTACTCGCGCTCTCATGTCGTCCCAAACCTTTATGACTACTTGGAAGCCTCTATATATATAATGCATTGCAAAAGTATTCTGCCTTATAATGCAAATTTTAATACATTGTAAGATCTCATAATTAATTGTAACCACAGTTATTATAATACATTATATTACTTACAGGTGAAATTTGAAAAATTTGAATATTGTGCAAAAGTTTATTTATTTCAGTAATTCTGAATTTAATTCTGAAATAAAATGTGAAACTAATATATAGACTCATTACATGCATAGAGATATTTCAAGCCTTTATTTGATATTTGATGATTATGGCGTACACTTATGAAAACCTCAAGGCTTGAAATATCTCACTTTGCATGTAATGAGTCTATCTATATATTATATTAGTTTCACCTTTTAAGTTGAATTACTGAAATTAACTTTTGCATGATATTTTAATTTTTTGAATATATATATATATATATATATATATATATATATATATGTAGTGTACCTGTATTTATCATATACAGGTACACTGCATTATGACCAGCCACAGGTGTAGTGACTAGTTAATATCATTGATCATCCACTATCAAGGCCATATGGTAAGGTCTGAGTAGATTAGATTGTAAGCAATTAATCAGTTCTTCTAATCAACATGTTGGATGCAGGATAAATGTGCAGAAATAAAGATCTGAGCGCCGTTTACCTGGGGAAGTGATGCCGGTGGAAGGAGTGTGATGATCTGGGCCATTCATGTGGACTTTAAAGGAGTAGTTCACTTTAAAAAAAAAACTTCCGCTGATAATTTACTCACCCCCATGTCATCCAAGATGTCCATGTCATTCTTTCTTCAGTCGAAAAGAAATTAAGGTTTTTGATGAAAACATTCCAGGATTTTTCTCCATATAATGCACTTCAATGGGAGCCAAACAGTTCAAGGTCCAAAAGACAGTTTCAGTGCAAACTGCAAACTGTTCAAAGGGCTTTAAATGATTTCAGACGATGAATAAGGGTCTTACCACGTGAAACGATGGCTCATTAAAAAAAAAAAAAAAATGTTTTAAGTTTTATAAGCTCAAATGGTCACCTTGCTCTGTTCTGTGATGCGCGTCTGACTCTCCTATTCAAACTCGTTTATCAAAATGAAGTAATCTTTTTTCATGTCATTTGGTTCATTCAACAAACAAAATGAACGAGTTGACTCAGGAAAAGATTCTTTAATTTCGATAAACGAGTTCGAATAGGAGAGTCACAAACATCACAGAACAGAGCAAGGCGACCATTTGAGCTTATAAAACTTAAACTTTGATGGTTTTTTTTAAATGAGCGATCGTTTCGCTTGATGAGACCCTTATTCATCGTCTGAAATTGTTTAAAGCCCTTTGAATAGTTTGCAGTTTGCACTGAAACTGTCTTTTGGACCTGGTCGTTTGGTTCCCATTGAAGTGCATTATATGGAAAAAAATCCTGGAATATTTTCATCAAAAACCTTCATTTCTTTTCGACTGAAGAAAGACTGACATGGACATCTTGGATGACATGGGGGTAAGTAAATTATCAGCAAAAGTTGTTTGAAAAGTGAACTACTCCTTTAAAGAGTAACTAAACCAACTTTTTTTAGTTAATGATCTGTAAGAATGGATCTTTATTAATACCAGTCATTGATTCGAGTAACTTTTTTGGCATTTGTTTATAAAGTGTTCTATTTCTACAATTTATGGTGTAAAAACGTATTAGTGCTGCCCTCTTTAGGTTGAACGGTGGCTACTGCAGTTGAATTTTCCTATTGGATGTTTGCGGTGGTGCGTGACACAGCGATTGTTGGTGACGTTGGCAAGTTTCATACAAAGAGATGCGGTTCAGGTGCACGCCCCCCTCCGCTGGGCTCTGCCCACTTTTCCAGCATTTTTCAAATATTGCCAGTGGGTGGAGTCAGGCTCTGACCGGGGGTTTAGTTACCCTTTAATTTGACATGTACCAACTAAACATTGTTGCAGACCAGGTACACCCCTTCATGACAATGGTATTCCCTGATGGATGTGGCCTCTTTCAGCAGAATAATGCACCCTGCTACACCAATTGTTCAGGAATGGTTCGAGGAACATGAAGAGTTCAAGTTTGCCCTGGCCGCCAAATTCCCCAGATTTCAGTCCAATTGAGCATCTGTTGGATGTGCTGGACCAACAAGTTCGATCTATGGCGGCTCCACCTTGCAACTACAGGACTTATAGGATCTACCGCTAATATCAAATGTCATATGACCACAGTATGTCTTCAGGGGTCTTGAGTCCATGCCTCAGCGGGTCAGCTCTGTTTTGGCCGCACGTGGAGGACCAACAACATATTAGGCCGGTGGTGGTCATAATGTTTTGGCTCAAAAAAATGTTTTCTGTTCATTGTTGTATACTTTATATAATTTATCCATTGTTACACCGTTAGGAAGTTTAGTATATTGAAACACATGATGGCAAAAAGAACTTGCAAATATTATGATGCATTTTACAATTATTTATTAGATATAATGAATTACAATGTTCATTATGAAAACATTTATAATGCATTAAAGGCTTCAAGTAAAGTGCCACTGACTTCAATTGCTCTGTGAAACACAAAAGATTTTTAGGTGAATGTCTTAAATTAGCTTTTTTATAGAGTTATTTTGAGGGATTAGTTCGGCTAAACCCGTTTCTAAATGGGCTTAGAAAATAATATCTTGGTTTCATATATATTTGTGCCCCTAATTTGAAAAGGTTTTAGGCAATTTGACCTCGCTCTTTTTGTTTCTTGCCATGAGCAGTCCCATTGACACTAGCAGAGATCATTTAAATCCATCTAAAAAAACCAAGACTCAGTGTCACTATATGCATCAATACCATCATAAATATTTGCATTCAAATATGTATCATACTCATTTCTTCAGAACTTATTTGCTGGAATGGGTGTTGAAGATATTTGCTTAGTTTCATTCTCTGTGTGGTCTTGTTTCACAACATTCTTTTCACAAACTTTTTCTCTTATTTAGAGAGGTTTGTTGGTTGTTTCCTGATTTATTAGTTCCTTTATAGGATGGGAAAGCAGTTTTCTGGTCTTGTTTTGTTTTATATAAATCCAAAAGGATGTCATGGATGTCTGAGCTTGAACTGATTCGGTTAATGTAGTCTTGGTCAGTGGATCTGGATTTTTGCATAGTTCATGCTGTTACTATAGCATCAATATACACTTCAGTTCATCTCTCTATCATGGACCTAGAGGTCGGGTTACTTCTGCGTCATGTGTTTGAGAATTACATCCAAACCTCAGCCATTCAAAACACGAGACTCCTTGTTCTGTAGTCACAGTCCCCACCCAGATACCTAATCCATGATTACATCTGTGCGTGACCCAAACCTCTGCAAAACAGACCCCTTTCCAACAATAGCTCCAATATCTGTTTAATATTTGTTCAGATATCTTGTTTAGTGAACCTTTTAGGACCCTTTACACATAATTGTATTTCCCAGCTGCAGTCCATTACACTATTCACATAGCTTGTTTTAACTGTCATGATTAAACAATAAATCCACTGTCATATCAGTGATTCTGTCATATCATTTTGTTTTATCTCTTACTCAATGTTTCACATTTTCTTCCCACCTTTTTAATTTCATAATATCTTTTGGTATTCTGTCCTCAGTGCCTCTTGCGGTGTATAAGTGGTTGGTGTGTTTCTTACTGGGTGAGAGCCAGAGGAAGCTGTCTCATGAGCAATCCTCTGGACTGGGAGACTTTGAGGCACGAAACAACAGCCAAGTATGTTTTAATCTTGACTTTAATTGCATCACACTTTGAAATGATATGTATCTACAGTATGTTTACTGGCAGCTCAGAGGGAGGAGAGGTATGCTATAGGTTTATAAATGTACAATTTCCCAGCTGCCTTATACTGTACCTCACCATCTTGCACCCGGCGCAATTGATCATTCCTGTTTTGCACCTGCCCAAAGCGGGCTTTTCCCTCCACAGACACACGTCGGTAAACTAGGAAATGAACTCGCGCTCCCTGGGCAGGTCGGCGCAAAAATGAGGCAAAAAAATTCCTTAGTGCTATTTTGCAGCTCCAGAAAACAATTGCGCCAATGACCAGAAAAAAACTAGTCTAAAGACAATGACGCGTTGCGCGTACATTCAGATGCTATTTTAAGCGTGCATGCTTGGTCATAATACTACAGAGTGTGAACAACGCACATACACTAGATGATTCTGCATTTTACTTTTTGCAAATGATACATTATTATAAGGAAAAGCATTTAAACACGAGGGAAATCATTGTTGTGTCCATGACGATGGGAAAAATAGGCATAAAGCTTACACATTTACCTAAAATATTATATGCATGTTTAACCGAAGCTAATTTGGGTGGTTTGTCCCATCCCCAATGTCACTTCTCTTTCGTTTACGGCCCTGACGAGAACATCGATCTCCTCGGCTGTGAACCGATGCTGAAGCGCGCCTGGTAAATGCGCCGTTGCCATGGAACAAGCGCACCTCGTTCATCATGCTCTTAAAGGGAATGTGATATGGCGCTCTTATTGGTTTGTTTCTGTTACACCCAAACCACACCTATGAATAATGAAGCTACTTCAGACAAACTCCTTTTAGACTTGTGTTGGGCTCAAGAGTCATTTATCCCGCAGGTAAAATAGCAACAGCCCCCAAGACCCGCCCACAAAGCGCTTCACGCTTGATACTTGCGTTTCAGATCATTAAAATAGGACCCTATGTGTGTTAAAATGTTACATCTTATACCAGATATGGTTTATAACATCATAGAAAGTTATCTTTTATACAGCACAGGTCACTTGTACAGGTCACTCTCTCTCATATTCAAATCTATATGATGAGCCAAAACACTATGAGCAGTCACAATATCAATGATGAAGTGAATATCATTGATTGTCTGCTAACAAGGCCACATATTAAGGTCTGGTTAGATTAGATGGTAAGCAAACAATAGCCGCGTTTCCACTGCCGGGCCAGGGCCGGGCCGTGCTAGTGCGTGCCAGGGCCAGTCGCGTTTCCACTGTCACTTCCGGGGCTTGATCGGGGCTTCCTCAGGGCCAACGGCCAGGATTTCTGGCCCGTCGAATACCTTGGGCCAGAGGGGGCCAGCTCGGGCTAGAGGCGTGCTCAAGGTAAAAGGCGGAGTTTATCGGTGTTATGGAACGTTATGATCTGAAGCAAGATGCACATAGGGGTGTCCATGTTTAACCGATTAACCGTTTAAAATTGCATAACATTTTAATTTGAACTGTAGGCCTATGCCAAATGCTGCGCATTGTTAGGCTATATATAGCTACATATCGACGAATTTTCAGATATTTGTTTGATTTTTTTGCCCCTTAAACATTTAAAATATTTGACAAATTAATATGAAAAAAAATATATATTTTACTGGTATTCTGAGGCCAAATTAGAACCTGGAAATGATATTTTCCCCGCAGTGCTGAATGAGAAGAGCCGTAACCACAGCCTATAAGGGGATTTATGGGTGATTTATAGGCTATAATAAATGTGTCTGATAATAAAATAATATAAAATAACGAGGCATTAATTGTTTATTAATAAAATATTGTTTTCTAAATGATTTTCGGCTAAAAACATATCTCCATCTCCGGATGCACATTTAGAGAGAAATTAAGCTACATAAACATAGAAGATATTGGCTTTCGATTCGAATTTGTTCGTTTTAAATTGGACATTTAAAGCTTTAATCTACAAAGGATATAACCCCTGTAGACTAAAGCTTTAAATGTCCAATTTAAAACGAACAAATTCGAATGCGGTGGCTGTTTCAGGTCTCGCGCTTCAGTTCACGGAGATCATGAAGCGCGTCTTGATTAATTGTTAAAGCACAACGTTTTCTTGTTATAAATAAATTTATTTGCGAATAATGTATTATTATTTTCTGTATGACCAGAAATTAAAGAGTATTTTAAGTTGTTTCCACTAAAAGAAATGCAATGAAACTGTTCACATGGGCGTCTCGCAGCCATCAGTGCGTGCTCCACACACACTGGATATGCGCTGATATTTGTCAAAAATATTGTGTTTATTTGTGCTCTGTTGCTTTTTTGGATAAAGGCGTCTTCTACATATGCAGCCTAATAAAATGTTACAATAATGATGATGATGGTTATTATTATTATTTGCAGACACGGAGTTTTTGTGAAATGGACGTTTTGCTTATTTTCAATTGGCAATTTCAGTTTGAAGGGTGATGGAAATGGGGCTTTAACTGCTCCGTACTTGCTGCGTTTTATTTCTAGAAATTAATTTCGTTTCAAATGGGGTCCAATCAGTTATTAAAGGTGTTAAAAATTTACTCTGTATCTCGAGGTTGCGGCGCGCACACTATGCACCGAGTATTAACCGATGGGCCTCGGTTAACGATTAATGAATAACTTGAAAACGTGCCCGCAGCCCTACTTGTTATATCGCGCAAAAAATCGCTGCTTGAAATGGAGTATCGCCTGTACTGGTCTCGGGACACTATTGCAGCCACTACGGCAGTTGAGTTAATATACATGCTATCTTCCTAATTTAAAAAATAAATTAATTCATAATACCCGCTGAAATGGGTTGGGTTTTATGACGTTTGATCCTGAAAGGCGTGTTAGGGGTGGGGTCTGGGGCAGCGCTGTGGGGCTACTGGCCCGGCAGTGGAAACGCAAGCCCGGTGCTTGAGGCCCGAGGCCACTAGCTCGGCCCGGCTCGCTGTTAGCTCTGGCCCAGCCCTAGCCCGGCAGTGGAAACGCGGCTAATCAGTTCTCATAAGCAAGATGTTGAATGATGGAGAAATGGATTGGAATAAAGATCTGAATGACTTTGACAAGGGCCAAATTGTAATGACAAGGCGACTGGGTCAGAGTTTCTTTAAAGCAGAAACGCAGTTTCCTTGTTTTGTCAGGTTTTAAAAAACTATGCATGCTGAGTTAATCTACTGTATGTAAGCCAGTCACATCATGTCAAAAACTGGGCCAATTTACCTGAATAAACAACCATAGACACATGTACTGTAAATGTTCCGTGTATTACTGTTGTCTTAAAGTCTAGAGGCTTTTGACTGTAAGTAAGACTGTAAGTTATAGTTACCCTATATTAATATCCATTCAAGAATCATGTTTCACTATGTAGATTTAATGTTGTTATTCATGGGAGAATGATCTGTTGTTTTTGATTATATATTTTAGTATGAGGCTTAATCATTGGGAAAGCAGAGCCTGCATTTCCCATTAATACCTTCTGTACATTCCCGTCTCGTTTATGACTTCTATCTAATATAAAACAGACCTCTGATTCTTCATACATGTCTTAAACACTGAACAGACACTTGGCTCAGACATATCCCTTACTTAATATATATTCCACTGAGCTACAAATCTACATCACACTGAGCATTTCAAAGGGCTGCTGTCTGACCTCTTGAAGGATTTAAACCCTTTCTCGCATATCAGATTCATTTAGATCCATGTATGTCCTCCATGGGGTCAGAGTCATATGTGTGTTTGAAAGCTGCTCGCATCACGTTTCTGATAATGGTAAAGTATCATGGTAGGACCAAATCAAGCATCAACACGTAATGAATCATAGCCATTACACCACACACACACACACACACACACACGCACACACACACATATACAGTGGCCTAGATACTGACATTTACCATTTATAAAACTCTTTTGCATTTTTTATTCATATAAAAATGAATGCCATTTTGGAGCAAGTACTGTCCAAAAGCAGTCATAGATTTATTCATTAGATCCAGTGATTTCTGGTTTAAATTGAGATCACTTCCTTTTATTACTTGCTTATGCTCCGCCATTCTCAAGTCAAGGGTCCTATATACTGACCAGTAGCATATCTTGAAAACTAGTGCCAATCAACAATTTTAAGCCTAATTTTCATTCTCAGTGACCCATAATTTTATGATCAAATAAATGCAGCATTAGTGACTTCTTTCAACAACAAAAGATTATTATTGAATAATGATTATCACTATACTCTCAGAAAAAAGGTACAAAAGCTGTCACTTGGGCAGTACCTATTCATTTGTTTCTTTTAGGTACTAATATGTACCTTAAAGGAGTAGTTCACTTTTTAAAAAACTTTTGCTGATAATTTACTCACCCCCATGTCATCCAAGATGTCCATGTCATTCTTTCTTCAGTCGAAAAGAAATTAAGGTTTTTGATGAAAACATTCCAGGATTTTTCTCCATATAATGCACTTTACTGGGAACTAAATGGTTCAAGGTCCAAAAGACAGTTTCAGTGCAAACTGTTCAAAGGGCTTTAAACGATTCCAGACGATAAATAAGGTTCTTATCAAGAGAAACAATCGCTCATTTTAAAAAAAAATAACAAAGGTTAAATTTAATAAGCTCAAATGGTCGCCTTGCACGTTCGTGATTCTCCTGTTCGATCAAAATGAACGGATCTTTTTTCAGGTCATTTGGTTCATTAAACGAACGAAATGTACAAATTGACTCAGGAAAAGATTCGTTCATTTTGATGAACGAGTTCGAACAGGAGAGTCACGAACGTGCATCACAGAACAGAAATTTGAGTTTATTAAATTTAACCTTTGTTATTTTTTTTATTTTTTTTAAATGAGCCATCGTTTCGCTTGATAAGACCCTTATTCATCGTCTGGAATCGTTTAAAGCTCTTTGAACAGTTTGCAGTTTGTACTGAAACTGTCTTTTGGACCTTGAACTGTTTGGTTCCCACTGAAGTCCATTATATGGAGAAAAATCCTGGAATGTTTTCTTTAAAAACCTTAATTTCTTTTCGACTGAAGAAAGAAAGAAATGGACATCTTGGATGACATGGGGGTGAGTAAATTATCAGCAAAAGTTTTTTTTTTAAAGTGAACTACTCCTTTAAGTTAGTGTACCAGTATGCACCATTTAGGTACAAACTTGTAACTTTTAAAGATGAATTGCTCCAGTGACAGCTTTTGTACCTTTTTTTTTTTCATGAGAGTGTACTTAATTACTCCAGTAGTCTATGTGCATAGTATAAAGGGACTAGTCTAGCTAAAAACAAGTAGTCAGAGGCCATATGATCTAATGTCCAGTTTCCATTTTATAATGTCATATAATGAGCTTTCTCACACATAAGAGAGTGAGTTAACTTGAGCTTTTTGGAGGGATGACAAACAGACAGAATGGGATCGAGCAGGTTACAGTATGTGACCAATGATTAAATTGTCCTAAAATCTGCAGTGAGAGCAAGAGAAAAATTAATAAAACAGACGTCCCTCACACACAATACTGACCCAGCAACCACCAAACACAGAGAATCTAGCAACCAGACACAAACACAAGCTAAGGTCATGAATCTTATTTTTTTTTTCTTTTGAATTTGTTCCCTTCTATAAACACATCCTAATTATTGTCTAGTCTGTATGTCATGACCTGGCAAGTTAATTTACCCCTTTAACCCATAAACACTCTTACTATAAAAATATACAGTATATGTATGTGCGTGTGTGTGTGTTTGTGTCCTTAGATTCTTTATTTCTTTCTTTCTGTAACTCATCTATCTTCTCTCGGTCTCTCTCTCTCTCTCTCTCTCTCTCTCTCTCTCTCTCTCTCTCTCTCTCTCTCTCTCTCTCTCTCTCTCACTCTCTCTCTCTCTCTCTCTCTCTCTCTCTCTCTCTCTCTCTCTCTCTCTCTCTCTATAGGTGTATTACTGTCGCTCATTGGCTATTGCCTTTATTGAGCACACAATGCTGCAGCGTTTCCATGACCAGATAAAGGATGAACAGACTCCAGCTGCTCTCAGATCAGTGCTGGGGCGTCTCTGTGCTCTCTATGGCCTGTGGACTCTCACCAACCACATGGCCATCCTGTATCAAGGTAAACGGCATATTAAAATGATTTCTGAAGGATCATGTCACACTGAAGACTGAAAAAATGGCTGGTGAACATTCAGCTTTATCATCACAAGAATATGACTGATTATACTGTTTTTTTGATATAAAGTCAGCCTTGAGGCACAATTCTTGATTATGGTCTGTTTGTGTTTATAGGAGGTTATTTCTCTGGTTGTCAGCCGGTTGACTTCATCCAGACAGCCATTCTCACGCTGTGTGGGCAGGTTAGTGTTGTTGTGTTAGCTGTAGTTCAGACACCCTCACTTATAAGTGCATGATGATGCAAACATCATGGAAGGCTTTTGAACTGCTCTCTCTCTCTCTCTGTTTTAGCTGAAGGATGATGCTGTGGCATTGGTTGATGTGATCGCTCCTCCTGACTTCATCCTGAACTCACCCATTGGCAAAGCAGATGGTGAGGTAAGAGAACACATACACAGGCACACATGTGCACACCAGCCCTCCACTGTGACTGTGGAATCACTTATACAGACAAATGTCTCCAAGAGCTGCAGAAGTGATCATCTCATTTACAGTGACTCCAAAAAGCATTCTCTCATCCGTTTTTGCAGTGACTTTTAATCACCTGGTCACAAGGTGTTTTTAAGTGGATGTACTGAATGAAGTCAGTTCCTTTAATTTCACACAAGTGTCCTTGCTGAGTAACTACAGGTTTGTTTATGTTAAAAAATGTATGAATGAATTTTTATATTTATATCTTTGTTGAATAAATAGCACTTGCTGTGTTGAATCTTAAGCAGTCACATTAATTTTAGTTTGGTGTTGTTGGTGCAGAATTAGTTGTAAAAGAGTAACTTTTACTACTAATAATAAATGTGAAGGACAATCAGCTTGTTCGATGCAGTAATGATGTGATTGCTTGCATGTAACGACAGCATCGACCAGCATATAAACTATATAAACATATATAAACACACACACACACACACACACACACACACACACATGCACACACACACACACACACATATATCTATATTACTAGATACAAAGACATGCTGCTGTGAGCAGTGACTAAGATATATATATATATATATATATATATATATATATATAAACACACACACACATATACACATGCATGCATATGAATGAAACACACATATACGCATGCATGCATATGAATTTAGTTTTAGTCTTTTGACTAAAATGCCATTTAGTTTTAGTCATATTTTAGTCATCTGAATTGTTTTAGTTTTAGTCTAGTTTTAGTCGACGAAATTCAATATGATTTTAGTCGACTAAATCTAGTGTAGTCTACTAAAATATAATGGGTTTAGTTAAATTGCAATGCATTTATTTCGAATTTAGAATAGAATAAAATGTACAAACCCATATACTCCCGAAGAAAACTTATATTAAAGGGTTAGTTCACCCAAAAATGAAAATTAAGTCATTAATTACTCACCCCCATGCTGTACCAACCCCGTAAGACCTTCGTTCATCTTCGGAACACAAATAAAGAAATTTTTGATTGAATCTGAGGGCTGGATCACTTTTCCATAGACAGCCTGAGGGACTGCCTCTTGACGGCCCAGAAAGTCATTAAAAGAAAAGGTTTAAATATTCCATGTGCCTACAGTGGCTCAACTATAACTTTATCAAGCGTCGAGACTACTTTTTGTGCGAAGAAAAAACGTAAATAACGACTTTATTCGACTTTCCATTACTTCCTTATGGGCGCATGCGCGAGAACTGAGACGAGACCGTTCTTCTTCGACTACTTTTTGTTACCGGCTGCTCACCGCTTAGGAGTTTTACCGCCCCCTACCGTATAAGATGACGTACTGCTTGTAAACAGAACGTTTTGCGCCTCCGGCTATATCAGTACGTCATCTTATACGGTAGGGGGCGGTAAAACTCCTAAGCGGTGAGCAGCCGGTAACAAAAAGTAGTCGAAGAAGAACGGTCTCGTCTCAGTTCTCGCGCATGCGCCCATAAGGAAGTAATGGAAAGTCAAATAAAGTCGTTATTTACGTTTTTTTTCCGCACAAAAAGTAGTCTCGTCGCTTGATAAAGTTATAGTTGAGCCACTGTAGGCACATGGAATATTTAAACCTTTTCTTTTAATGACTTTCTGGGCCGTCAAGAGGCAGTCCCTCAGGCTGTCTATGGAAAAGTGATCCAGCCCTCAGATTCAATCAAAAATTTCTTTATTTGTGTTCCGAAGATGAACGAAGGTCTTACGGGGTTGGTACAGCATGGGGGTGAGTAATTAATGACTTAATTTTCATTTTTGGGTGAACTAACCCTTTAACTTGTTAATATGAATGAGTTAAATGTCTGAACATGCAATACAGATACAAATTTAACTACTGCGACTTAAAAAAATATCTTAAAATTAAATAACACCACTTTTCCTAAAGTACAACACAGTTTTTTCAATGAACTATATATGCATTCTTTATAACTACTTGCATACATCATTCTTTATTCTTTCAAGCAGAAATATTTATTTGTATATCTTTTTTTATCTGTATCTTTTTCTTTTTCTGCTTCATCAATATTAAGGACACAGACCACATTATGTTTAATGCCACTATCACTTTAAGACGTCGGATCATTTCCAATGACATGCGGATCCTTACAACTGTTTAAGACATAACCAACATAGTTTACATGAATACTGTCCAAAATGGACATTTAAACATAATGTTGTGTGTATTTGTCCATTCAGACACGAAAGAGAGCTCAGTTCAGTCCCTGCGCGCTTTATATGTGTGTGTGTGTGCATAGCTGCGCGCTTCGGGTCGGGTGTGTGCGCACGTAGAACCGTACCGAATAAAGCTCTTTTTTTGCATCGTCACTCTTATTCAGATCTATATGTCTGCTCTACTCATTCTCCCAGACGTTCAGATTTTTTAACATTTTATTATACCTTCAAACTATACAAGTTGGAAATATAAAAAGTTTTTTTTAACTAAATAAGTTGAGACTGTGAGACTGAGAGCTAGTGATGATGCAATATTTACTGGAAAATATTACAGCTTAACTTGTCACAGAGGGGGGTACAGTTAACATCACCTAATAAAATCAACAATTATTAGAACTTTGGGTGGTGGATTTGTTTCCTCTTGTCACAAAAAAAAAAAAAAACAAAAAAAAAAAACAGTCCAGCTAATTAAAACAAACTGGAAAACTGGAGGGTTTTTCCATTGTGCAAGACACTGCCCTGGGTTTTATTCATTATCCCTCAGAAACAAGATTCTGACTAGACATTATGGTCACTGACTCATTCCTCCAGTCGTATTCTCTCAGCACTTATTTGGCAGGCCATTCATTTTTAAGTTTAATAAAAAACAGTGCTTTACTGAAACACTAGACAGAGCAGTCACACACACACACGGCCCACTGACACACAGACCTTTATACTGATTCCCCTGCTGAGTGAGACACTCTTCATGTTTACAGTTGGAGACATGCTTACTGGAAATTAACTCTTCACTTGGGCATTGATTTATTGAGCTTCTGATAAAAGGGAAGTCTTTATTTATGAAAGCTCTCCACATGCTTGTTTTCTGACTGATATTGTCTTGTTACTGATTATAAGTCGCATGGCTTGACCTTATATTGGTCCAGCAATGCAAGTGTTTTTTGTAATTAATGACTTTGCGATTCAGTGTCTGTCTGTTTCTCGTGTTTTTCAGCTCTACAAAAACCTGTGGTCTACAGTCATGCAGGGTAAGAACGTCTTGGAACGGCCATCTTGGTGGGCTGAGTTTTGCTCTGACAAACCTGCAGTTGGATCTCTCCGAGCCAAACTGTAACTCCTCAAGGTGGTCAGCTGTTTGGAAAACAGGATCGTTGCAGACATTCGTCGGTTTGTTCTTTACGCCAAACAGTTTTATGATATTGATATAATACTGTCAAACAGTTTTAATTGATAAATTCAGTCTTGATTATGTTATGAGCTTATGGAAAAAGACAGGGAGGTTCCAAGAAAAATCTCAACCATGTTGATCACAGTGAAAATTATGAACAGATACACTTAAATTTCCTAAGATCAGCATAAACTAATATGTGTGGTGCACTATACACATTAATAAGAGCACTCATAACGCTTTCTAATTCAATGTGCCAATTCATTGGTTTGGTTTGACTCGAAAAGGTTTGAATTAAAGGCTGTCAGACCTATTGTTTGAATGCACAAATTACTTAACCATAACTAAACCCTCAATAACAGTGTTGAGAGTCTAACTAATTTTACAACATTTTGTCATGTTGATGTCATGGATGATGAATGATTGTTTAATACATTATATGCTATAATATGCAAGAATGTAATTATATTTAATTGTTACTTTTTATCAAAATAAATACTTTAAATTCTTTGAACTGGAGTCTTTTTATTTAAACATGAATGTGGTCCATCTGTACGGTATATTATCCCATGTTGAAGCATGGGAGAGACATCTTGAATATCAAATTAAACAAAACTATTAATAATTGAAATGCCTGATTCAGATGGTTTTCACCATTTAAAGATTGTTGTGCAGGGCATTCGCTCATTTAACACAGGTGTTCTTGTCATCTCATGGATTTGGGTGAAGATGGACCATTGTTGTGTGCAAGTACAGGTGAGACTCTATACTGCATGCATTCAACCTAAAGAGAGAGAAAAGCTGGATACTTTTTTAACAAATGAGTGATACTATGAGTAAAAACATTGTAATAAACTGAAGAATGGTTTTCCAATATAAAGAACATTTCGTGCAATGGAAAGTTTCCAATTCACAAATGTTCGAACCATGTTCGTTCATTTGGCCAGATGAGGACTGGCGAATCCAGTTTTTACCAATGTTTTGTTTTTGTTTTGTTTTTCTCTCACCTGATGGATTTGGGTTCCTTTCAACTATTGCTTTTGGCTTGCTTAGTTGAGTTTCAAAAGACACTTCATATTCAGTAATACTATCACTATTAGTCACTGTTAAATGAGTACAAAGCTTAAACTGAATTGGGATGAATGGTGACACTGTAAAGCTGCTTTATCGCTGAATCAAATTTGATCGACACTGAACTGGATTGAATCAACTGACTTGAGCTGAATAATGAAATTTCTATCTTTTGCTGAATTAAACTATAGTTTCATAATTGATTAACTTTACATAGTTACTGAAGTGAACTGAACCAACAATGAGCTGACTTGAACTGAATAATGACATCATTGTCTTCTGTAGAGATGCCTTCCTGCAGAATTGGAATTTGTCTCATAATTGATGAAGTTTTCATCACTGGTTCTGTTATTTTCCTATTAATTACTGTGAAGTTGCTTTGAAAAAATCTGTATTGTAGGCCATAAAAGCCTTTTTCGAGGTTCACCACCATTCATTTCCGTTTATAAACTGTCAGATGAGACCGAACATGACATAGTTAAACATGTTAGAACACAGTCACTAGTAAATAAACAGTTTTTGAGTACATATATGTGTCATTGAGGTGTAAATGACTCGTCTGCACGAGATAGGCATTAGCATACTGTGATGATGAAGGCCATTGTTCCACGTTTTATTTGGATAGGCCCTACCTTTAAAAGGATATTTTGAACAGGGCAGTAAAGTTCTGTCCATATTTGCTCAGCCCTACAATCATGTAAAAGTGTAACCTGCTATTTCGAAAAAAATGTCATGATGTAATGTGCTTTTAGAAGAATGTGTACTTCTAAACTTACAAACTTGCTTTTTACAAAGGTATTTAAACCTAAACTGATATTGGGAATCTAATGGTTTATCCTGAGGTTTGACCTCGGTTCCCATGCCTTATTTAGATACAGAACCAGGTTTCAAGCCAAAGACAACAATTCCAAACTGTTGTGCAATTCCTACTTTGCCAAACATTTCTGCCTTTCTATGCAGAGAATTATTTAGCAGAATATCTTATTGTGTATTTGTCCTCTTTTTTCATCCGTTCTCAGAACTTGTTGCTCTGTTGTCTTCCTTTGTGCACTCTTTGTGTCCCTATATCTACACTATGTGTGTAACTGAGAGAATGTGTCTGCGTTCCACACAGTAATGAGAGGTCTCATGGTGATGGCCCTGGACAAGTGTGCACTTCAGTGTCAAGTCTGTGTTTGTGTTTATGCAGGAGCGTGTCTCATTGAGTTAACATTCTTACAAAAACATAATCTATAGCCTGTGGCTTCTTTGGATTGCTTCACAAGTTTGTTTTTATTGGTGTGGTCGGGGTTTAGAGACCAAAGCCTGCAAGACATTGTGAAACTAATTCACAGAAGATGAACTTGAATGAAACCATATGAAATGTGTATTGATGTCAAAACAATGGATGATGAGTTTATTTGTTTTATATTCTGCTACAGTATATATCAGCTGTTTCACTTCCTAAAAAGTATAATGGTTTTTCTACCATAAAATGCTTTTCTTTGAAGTTATGGATATGATAATTCAGTACTGAGGGACATTACCTTCTGATACATTACTGTACCACCACAGTACTTTAGTAGTCCTAATGGCTGACAGGCAATCTCCCTTAAACATAGAAATACCGAAAGTGTGGAAACCAATGGCTGGCACTTTAGCTATAATTAGCAATTAGCTGCATAGATTATTATTATTACAAGACACACGCCCTGTGTAACACATCTTTGTTTAATTTATTTTTTCGTGCCATTTCTTTATTTATCCAGCATGTAGACTGCAAGATCCGCTCCGAGTTGAACCACTTGGGTGTGATAGCACTTTAGCCACAACACCATGCTAATGCTAAACCAAAACAGAGCTGGACCCAATGTCAAGTTTCTATTTATCCTTACTCTTGAAAGACTCAATTCTGATTTCCTCCATGGTCACATCACATGTGGTTTGGCCTGAACGCTGTGCTTCGAGCATAACATGACTTCAGCGCAAATGACATAGCTTTTGACTTCATATGTGTGTTTTTGTGGTTTTTAGTCAGATTTAACAGCAAATTAAATCAGTATGTTTGACAACCGAGCAAAGAGAAATCTGATGTTACATTTCTGAGGAAAATAATGTTAAAGGGATCATGACATGTATTTTTTTTTAATTATTTCAAAATGTTCTTTGAGATAAACTTTTCTTTGCTGTCATATATTTGCTAAAATTATTTTCAAACCTCATTCTGGCCTTCTGTCTGAAATGATCCGTTTTAAGTGACGGCTCCCTTCAGGCTTGTCAGTAAATGGCTAACATTACTGCATATGAAGTAGTCTAAACTATAGTCCAAAGTCCACACTATTGCATGTGTTTAAGTTATCTGTACATTTTTACCAATTATGATGACATTTCTATAGCGAAAAGTTAGTATTGTAGTAATTAAATCTTCAAGTGGTTGCTGCCAAAGCCCTCTCTGTTTTGTTATTGATCAAATATCCATACAAGCCATTTTTTGAACATGGTTAAATAAATGTTCATGTTGTACTGAGGAGAACGTTTTAACAATAAAAAATTGCCTAATGTTTTAATGGTACAAAGACTTCGTATAAGTCAAAAGATCAAGGAAAAATGTATTTCTCATGTCATGCCCCTTTAAGTCAGTTAAAGAGGTCATGTTTTTCCTCAGAATTTTTATTTTTATTTTTTTAGACCGAAAGCAAAATGACAAGCTTTCTATTTATAGAGCTAAGCCCCAAACACAAAATTGTAGGTTGTTCTTCTTGAAAAATTACAGCAGACAGTGGTGGCAGCCATTTTGCATCTTAGCTGTCAATTGGCTTTTTTTCAAAGTACACTGTTAAAGCAAATGTAGCATAAGACGTTGAATGTGCAGATAACGGTGTTCTTAAAAGAGACAGGCCTACTTTAATGAATAAGGTAAAGCTGTAAAATCATCATACGCAGCTTGAAATATGCAGCTGTGTGTCATGTCTGGATTTTGTGATCCACAGTTCCTGTCCCGACTGTGAGAACTGGAGAAAAAAGCTTTGTCTGCTGGAAAGTTCTGAAGGGTATTCTGGATCCATACATTTCCAACCCAAACATCAGGAATCAGTCAACCAGACATGCAGACTTTCCTTTTTTTATATTATCTATCTCAAATAATTTAATATAGGATCTTTTTTTTTTTTTTACTTTAGTTTCAACTGACTGCTCTTTCAAAATCCAGCATATAGCCTACTTTATCATCCACCAATTTACCAAGTGATTATTTTCTGAGAAAGTTTTATTTCAGGTCCAACGTTCAAAGATCCAGCTGAAGAGAACCAAAAATAAGAGCATATTTAAAAGCATGGTAATCAAGTCCTATGACATGCTGTAGACATTAGACAAAGAGGAACATGAATATAGCATATACAGACTGATAAACAGTTTACATGAACAAATCTCACTGTGATCTCTGCATATAAAAAGCACACAACATTTGATTGGACAAGGTGACCATATAAAAATGTCATTCATCATGACAACATATAAGAAAATGTATTTAAAAAAAAAACGACAACAACCTTGCACAGCAATTAATTCTTGCCACTGGTGCTACGATAAAGTTTCAGCAATGAATACAAATTTAATTAATCCACATCTATAAGATTAAAAAAATGATAATGATAATTTTTATTAAAAAATATTAATGTAATTTATTAGAATATTGTTTATTTATTCATTATTATAATTTATTTATTATTATTAAGTATGCTTATGTGGTTACTTATGTAAATTTCAATTGTTTATTAAATATTCTAATATAAAATTTTTGGCTTTTGGCTGTTTCTGGTACAAACTTCAAAAATATCACCAGCTTTGTCTTCTTCTACAAAATACAGTACTGCAAGTTTTCAAATTTGCCATGAACAAATCATTCTCCACATCAAACCTGCTTCAAAGAGAGCGTGCTGTTATGAAATGCTTTTCATATAAAATCTCTTGGCAGACTTGACTGAGATTGCGAAAGCTCAAGGTCCTCGGTGTTTCACAGAAGGATGGTTAGACATTCCTCTGGTCATGACAGCGCATGACTGACATGATGAAAGTTTGATGCTTCACATTCTGAGAGCTGATGACATCACTGCATGATGATGTCAGGCTCAATGTTGAAGAGCAGGTCATCGTTGCCTCTGCGCACCTCCAGCAAGAGAGTTGTGTCTCGATTGAGCGCTTCCTTCAGTTCGCTGGTGTTCACCAGCGGCTCTCCATTTAACTTAACGATGATGTCACCGTCTCTGATACCCCCTCTGAAATACATTTGGAGAAATTATACAATTGTCAGTTGTATCCTTAAATTTGTAAAGGGAAATATCATATAGCAGTCGGTCATTATCACAAAATAACAGCGGCAGTTGTGATCAGGGCAATATGAAAATATATGTAAATATGAAATATTAATTAGTTCAAATTAAAGTTCCCCTGCGGTAAAAACAAGCTTTTAAGCCTTTTTAACCCGTTTAATCCCACCGGTTTTATTTTTTATTTATATTTTATACATTATTTTATATTTGATTTATTTATTTATCATTAAGACAAACCTTGTGAAAATTCATAAGTCAGTCTCAAAAACGCGGATTGAAATCACTGGTGTTTCTGACGTCACAAACTACCTTGTAACCTCAACATGTGATCATCAACGAGTGGTTTTCTGAGCTGGTGTGAGTGACTGGAGGCGGAAATAATTTGCATATTTATAGAACCGCTTATAATGAGTTACATTCAAGCTACTTTAAGGCATGAAGAAGAAAAATTCAAGGAAAAAAAACGTTCAAATATGTCATTTTGGTGATAAAAGATGAGTAACACAGTCTCATCCCAAGACGTCAACTAACTGACGCTTTTGACCATACGTCAACATCCGACGTTTTAGGGTACCCTTTAACGTCAGTTAGATGACGATCCTGGGGCGTCATCCAACTGACGCTTTACCTTTAGCGTTAGTTAGATGATGCGGGTAAGTTTAGGTCTGGGTAGGGTTAGGATTAGATGGTGTCATCTAAATGACGTTAAAGGGTATCCTAAAACGTCGGATGTTGACGTATGTTCACAAGCGTCGGTTTCATGACGTCTTGGGATGAGACTGCGCTGTTTTAAGGGATACAATTATTGACTTACATATACTGTTACTCCTCCTGACTCCCTTGCTTTCTCAGCATGAACTTCAATTCCCACAACTCATTGCCTGGACTCGATGAGTTAAATGTGTTGCAGCAGCATGCAGACGTATATAGGCAAGGCGGCTCGCGTGCCTATTGGCTGTCCTGTGGCAACTGCAGAAGCCTATAGAGCTGGTTAGTCCCGCCCATCCGTAAAACTCCAAGTGGACCTCTAGGTTGAAAAAGCGTCAATGCAAGTGAATGAGAGAAAATAATTATTTTCTGATCCCGTTTGAATTGTGCCATGAATGTAACATATGTTGTCTGTGAATTTTTTATATAATTTCTCATGTAACGAGTTTGACAGTATATTGTATGATTCTTTGGCTAGCAGTTGTGCAATAGACATAATGAGAAAGACTACACGTCGCATATGTGACGTCGCCGCGTAACACATTTTCCCTCCACAAATCACAGTTTTCACCACCTCAACTAGTTTGTCCTCTCCCTGAAAGAAGGTGGTGAAGTGCACCAAAGACACAGGCATGTTTAGCGGGATCCGTGTGCTGGTGGGTGTGATGTATTTCAAACACGTCGAAAGAGTTGTAGTCCACAAAGTGCTCTCACACAAAGTCTACCCGTATGAAAATTCTACCCGCTAAATTGTAGCATTCTTTACACGAAACGTTATATAAAAAATTCAGAGACAACATATGTTCACATTCATTGCAAAATTCAAACGGGATTTGAAAATAATTATTTTCTCTCATTCACTTGCATTGACGATTTTTCAACCTAGAGGTCCAACGGGGCTAGCTGAAGGGGCGGGACTAACCAGCTCTATCGAGAGAGGGCCTTGGTGACGTCAGAACTATATCACGTCCCGCCGAGATGGGCATGGCCTGGGCCTATAAATAAAGCTCGATGGGCTTATATAATCTAATTTTTCATCTCTTCAGTGAAGCTCACTCACCTCCCCCAACCCCCCACCTCTGCCCGTGAGTCGTCGGGGAAACGGGTCAGCCTCGAATGAGAGCTGATGAGTCTGCTCTCACAGTGGGAGGCGTATGCGCAGTCCGCGCAGAACAGGCTGGATGGATGTTTCCTGAAAAGGAAGGGGCCTCACCCCGCCGTCTTCTAGGCCTGTGCCTTCTCTTCCAGAGCTTCACGAAGAAGTCCTGGAACGCCCCGTTCTCAGCCAGAGTGCTCACCTCTGTCTCAGCAGCATTCTCTGTGGTGGACGGTGCTAAAGACATAGGATATCACTCTCTTCCCCCAGAGGAAGAAGCTGTAGCGGCCCATCTTAGCCCACCCTCAGCAAGCTAAGACGGCGCTACCCTTTAAAGCTTGCCGTGTTACTTCCTCCATGCACGGTTGCGCTTTCGGCGTTGCACTCGATGGCCATGCTGCAAATCTTCCAGGCAGACCTTCTCCGTAAACTGGATGAGGAAGGACCGGAAGCGATCAGCGTGCCGGATTTAACAAGTGCAACAGACCTGGCTCTTCACGCCACGAAATCCGCTGTAAAGGACATGGGGTGGAATATGGCTTCTCTCACTGTTGCTGAGAGACATCTTTGGCTGACGTTATCTGAGATGCTGGACTTGGAGCACTCTGTGTTCCTCGAGGATCATTCACCAAGAATTTCACGGATAGATTCGCCGGGGTTCAGAAGATGTCACAGGCTATGAAGCACTTCCTTCGGAAGCACTCTAGCTCTGAGCTCCGAAGCAGGTCGCCCAAAATAGCCGTCTGCTCGAAGCTCAAAGCTGCAGCCCGCTGCCGCTTCACAGCGTCGTCAAGCCCTGGACAAGAGACCATGCTCTCACTCTGCCGGCCGCCGCCCCCCCTCCGCGCAGGCCCTGGCCAAAGATTGAAATGAACCCCGAAGTCTTCCTAGCCCTCCTAGGAAAACGACGTCGGAGTCTCGAACATCGCGGCCAGATTTTCACCGAAACTTTTCGCTCGTTCAGTTCCAGATAATGCGACTCTTCCAGTGTATTCTGCAGTAAACAAGACGGTACCACGGCCCACTTGTCTGGGCACAAACAGCGTTTTACAGCGACCCAGATAAATCACATTAAAGTGTAAATTCTGGTATTCTGGTATTCCGGCCACGGCCGATGGTGTTAGGAGTGTAATAAAAATGCCCACAACCCAGTGTTCATTTCTACAGACAAGCACAGCCAGGGTACAGGGCTCGAACAAATAAAATCGACTCATGTCGATTGTGCATTAAATGTAGTGAATGTGCCCACAACCCAGTGCCCACAAACACAGCACACTGCATGTCCCACGGTTTCTGCAAAAATGAAACCAACACACATACAGTCGTTAGCTCAGGCCGACGGTTTTGTCAGTGCACTAAATGTGCCTGCTTTCCCTCACCCACATTCACTCACAGACATGTTCGGCCCCACAGGGTTTGCCCCGCTCGATCTCTCTCTCAGCAAGAGAGATGGGCCAGGCTGCCCATCGTTGCCTGCGATAAACTACACACAGCTCCCTTATAACTCTCCTTTAGTAATGAATGACTTCCAGTCTGTCATTTGTCACTTGTTGGCAGCTTTAAATAATTTTGACTAAAATCTTTTTACTAAAATCAACTGAGATGCAAGATGGAGCCAGTTGCTTTTTTTTATTAAAGGAGTGCGAGGAAGTATGTAGTGTGATATATATATAAAAAATAAAAAAAATAAAAAACCCATTAAAGTAGCCCCAGATGTGGTGTCTGAAATAGGCTACAGTGTCGCCATGGATGACGGCAGATATTAGGAGATATCTCAGAGGGTCGTGTAACAGATTGAATTACATGTTTGGAGGAATTTATTCAATATTCCTGTGTCAATATTTTAGAATAGGTATAGAAATGCTAATGATAGCTTCTGTAGATTTGTTGCATTTATAATACAAATCTGACATTTCTTTTTTGATTTTAATCTTCAAAATGTTGTCATCCACAGAGTACAGACATAGATCAAACTTCTTGGCTGGGAGTTCTGAAGCACAACCACAACTGAAAGACCACAGATCATCTGGTTTGGCTGATGCTTACTTCTGAGCAGGGGAGTGAGGAACCACCTCATGGACAAAGATCCCACTGCTGACATCAGGGAAATCGGGATTCTGCTGCCTCAGCTCTTCCACGAGACTGGAGGAGATAAAAGATGAGAATGTCTCACATACACACACATATACACACACGACTAAACAGCAAAGTGGTGTTCATTCACTTGCGTTCTCTCACGTTTCTGTGATGGTGAGCATTCGTATTCCAATGAAACGCTTCTTCACTGATCTTGTCTCTGAAACAACATGTAAAATGTTTTAACATATTTAGTCCAGCAAGAATGGTTCTGAAAAATAAAACGTTTAATATTAGATCATTTATACTCTGACCTCCCCATGTTTAAAAGCTCCCCCATGTACCTTTGTTTTGCTTTCCCAATGAATCATTTAAGAATCGAGTAATCCTGTCTGAGGGAATGGCAAATGAGATCCCTGCAGCTACCTTGAGGGTGTTGATTCCTATCACCTCTCCATCCTTAGAGATGACAAATCAAGAAGAAAAATTAAATACTAGATCAACGTGTTTGAGTATTAGGAGACACTGAAAATGCTACATGTCATAATTTCCTCAAACTCCATGCCATGTCTTTGCTAATGTGGAACACAAAAGATGAATTATTGAGGTACAGACAGAAATATTCAAATTATATTGAACAGAGTGGATATTCTTTTTAAAAAATCATCTTTTGTGCTCCACAAGATAAGAGAAAATAAAATATGAGGGAGATTAAACATTGACAGAATATCATGAAATAATTACCAAATTAACGAGTGGTCCACCTGAGTTCCCATACTGAAAACAGAAAGAAAAAAAAAGAGTAGATTATTGGTCTTCGAACTATTTTACACATACCGTATCTATATGGGATTAGGTTTGTGCCAAAATTACTGATCATAAATGTTCAAGTATTGAACAAATCCAAAACATAAAATAAAGTAAAAATCTGACTTATACTTTAGAATCACTCCAAATAAAACCACTCAATTCAGAATTTCAAATGAAATAATAATTGATGTTTCTTATTGGTGCTCAAATTATTTTACATAATTTATCTATGGGGTTAGATGTATGCCAAAAGTACTGAATATATAAATATTCAAGCATTGGACAAAAATATAAATCCAAAAATTAAACTAATGTGAAAGAAAAACAGGCCCCATTGATGGTCCCCATTGACTTAATTAATATTTTTTTCCCCTACTAAAGTCAATGGGGCTCATCAACTGTTTGGTTGCTGACATTCTTCAAATATCTTCCTCTGTGTTCAGCAGAAGAAAGAAATTCATACAGGTTTAAAACAACTTGTGAGAAGAAAACTATCACTTTAATAAGAACCAACTGGCAGAACTGCAAGTAAACTAAAGAAGAATAAAACAGGCAGCAATTACGAAAACTTTGGTAATGCAATCATAAAATGCTGATTATCAAAAAGCAAGCAGTATAACCAGTAAAAATATAGAATAACATTTTCCTGGTTTAAAGGTTTTTTTTTTTCCACTATTTATATTTTTGTTCAATACTTGAAGTTATGTTCATCATTACCATGAAATTACCATGCATTATCATGAAAAGAGAATACATGTTTAAATAAAATAAAATGCTCTTATCATCATTTCCATAATATGGACCAATTACTAATAACTAGTAAGCATTACTTGTATGCAAAGTGATTTTAGAAATTAATTTCAGAAGTTAAACTTCTTATGCAATGTCCAGTAAGACTCTTGACATGCATTATCCTGGTTATTCTGTGTCTTACGTTGATGATGGCATCAGTCTGGATGTAGTCCATGTCTGAGTCATGGAGACCCAGTTCTTTCCCATCTCTCTGTGCGGTGCTGACAATTCCTGTGGTCACTGTGTTCTGCAGGGCAAACGGACTGCCGATAGCGACCACAAACTCACCCGGGCGCAGGTCTGCAGAGTGACCCAGCAATAAAACGGGCAGCTTTTTCTACCGAAGAGGTTGTAGGAAGTAGTGATTAAACACACTTTGACATTTGTATGATGAAGATTGCTCTTTGAGTGCAATAAAAACAGTCTTACCTGTGTGTTGATTTTGATAGTGGCAATGTCAGACTTCTTGTCGATGTCCTTGATAGTGGCCTCATACACATCTCCATCACGCATCTGTACTTTGAGTTGCTGATGACCCGAAACAGCTGTGGTGCTGGACACCACATGAGCATTAGTCACGATCAGCCCAGTCTCTGACATTACAAAACCAGAACCACTGGATAGAGGAACCGTCCGACCAAAGAGGGGGTGGCTAGGGGGCAAAAAATTTACATATAAAGGCATCGGACAAAATTCACACTATTTAGTTCCAAATACTTTGCATTGAAAATTCAATTCGTATGTGATTCAAATGTAATTTGAGTAATTCAAAAACGTATGTACAACTCCAACTCCAAGTTTGTTTGTTTTTTGTTTTTTTTGTTTTTTTGTAAGCGACACTTTCACATGCTTTTATACTTTTAAGTTAGCTGAACTTAAGAGTTTTTTTTAACCCAATTACTGTAAGTATGACTAAAGTACATCTTTATATATAATTTCATAATTTTTGAAACATGGTTAAACTAATAGTGTTTTTTTTCAACCCAATTACTGTAAGTATGACTAAAGTACATCTTTATATGTAATTTCATAATTTTTGAAATATTGTTAAACTAATAGTTTTTTTTCCAACCCAATTACTGTAAGTATGACTAAAGTATATCTTTATGTAATTTCATAATTACTTTTTGAAATGTGGTTAAACTTAACAGTGTTTTTTTTTTCAACCCAATTACTGTAAGTATGACTAAAGTACATCTTTATGTAATTTCATAATTACTTTTTGAAATGTGGTTAAACTTAACAGTGTTTTTTTTTCCCGACCCAATTACTGTAAGTATGACAGTATATCTTTATATGTAATTTCATAATTTTTGAAATATGGTTAAACTAATAGTGTTTTTTTTTCAACCCACTTACTGTAAGTATGACTTAAGTATATCTTTATATGTAATTTCATAATTACTTTTTGAAATATGGTTAAAGTGTGCTGCAAAATCTGTACAGACAAGCATGTACTATAATATACTTTAATAATTTCTATAACTTGCATCATGTATTTACGTATTTGTTGTATAAGTTGTAATTTATAACATTTAAAATATATTAACTATAAACGTAATATTGAAATATTACACTACATCATGCACATCACATTGATAATCAAATTAGCATAATTCTTTAAAATATGACAAAATATTAAAACATAATGCTTTAAAATGTACTTCTATAAGTGAAACTTTTATACAAAATGTTCTTTTTAAAATTGTACTTTTTCAAGTGAAGTAATAGGCTACTTAGGTAGACTTTATTTCATAAACTCTTTCTCTGCCAGCGTTAGCAACAAAAAAAACAAAAAAAAAGCTTTTAATCTTTGAAGTACACAAGTGCACATCCAATGCAATGAAACACACTTCTTTTCCACAAGGGTTTATTGCATTTTAAAACATTAATCACCACAACATTTTCTATAAATGAATAGGCAAGATAATAGAAAAATATCATTTTGTTTGTACCCAATTTCTCCAGACCACACTCTTTGTCATCATTCACAAGAGTAGCCATAGCAAAAGCAATAGTGCATATGTTTAGCTTACAGACAGCAATGACGCTCACCCACAGCTGTGTTTGCCAAAAACCTTCCTCACTTCCCCTCAGTTTTAAAGCACTACAGATGGCTGCCACACCATGAAAGTGTTTGCAAGTGTTTGGGCTTACTTTAGGAACAGCTCAATGTGCACCACAGCAGGGGCGATCTTCTCCACCACGTCAGCAATGAAGTTGAATCTGTACCTCGGGCTGTTGGGGTGTGTGGGACCTATACTAGCAGAAAGAATTACTCATGTTAATAATCCCACTATATGGTCAGAAACCAGCACCACATTTTCTTTTGTAATGCTACTACTGTCTTTTTATAGCCCCAAAAAGCCTGTTCTGGCTCAAGAGGGCATGATTAGTAGCAGGCATGAGTGTTTAAATTCTGTCCTGCAGATTCAGATGGTATGTTGATGATAGTTTTACTGTGATGATAGTTGGAGAAAGTCTTTTCAAACACAGGAAATGTTCCTCTATAATTAGGTCGAAAATTACTAGGTGGGTTTTATCCTCATGCATGCTTGAGTTGTGTTGGGTGTGCAGTGAAGTGTGTTCAGTGTGTAAAGATACAGTAATTAGAGCATATTATTTTCTGCAAACATCAGGGTGGGTTTTTTTTCGCTTGACTGCTGTTTCCTCTTGGCCGTGTTGGCACCACCATCACTCCTTTGCGTGCACACCATTATTGTCCTACTAACCTAAAATTTGAAGTCATTGATGAATAAAAACTATTTAAAACCTTGTTTAGAACTTCAGTACTTTACATACTACACCTAATGGCTATCGCTTATATTGTAGGCTTTGATCACTGTCTCTGTTAATTAATAGTTAATGTTTTTTTTTAATTTAAGATTTCTTTAGACAGAGGTGGACAGAGTACACAGCTTTATTACTTGAGTAAAAGTACAGATACCCGTTGCTAAATTATACTCAAGTACAAGTAAAAGTACTACAGTCAGATGTCTACTTGAGTAAAAGTACTGAAGTACTTGTTTTTAAAAGTACTTGAGTATCAAGAGTACAAGAGTACACATATTGCATTACTACTGCCACAGTGCTTACATTTATGTACAGAAACGTCCTACATGGAGTTATGAAAAATGTCAATGTCAATACCTTGGAGAATGTAAAAGGAATTGAAAGTAAAATCAAGTCATCTTTTTACCATGTTGCTTTATTTAACATTTAAGAAAATTTCAGAATATTCAGAAAATGGAAATAGTCTGGTGAAGTGGCGCCACGGGTCGGTACATTCCCGGGATGGACCTGCTGCGTCTTTATCCATTGTTTCGTCCATGGTTTCGTCTCTTATCTAAATCTGACCATGGAGCTGACTTTGGCGGAAAGCTAAAGGTGATTACTGATAGGCTGTCCCAATCAGTGGCGCCTGCAAAATCCAATCACGTTTGAGAGGGAAACAACAAATTGAGGGTATCCGAGATTTTTCTTATTTCAATTTTTTTTTAGAAGTAGTAACTCGTACTCACGGTTATGGATAGAAATGTAGTGGAGTAAAGAGTACAATATTTCCCTCTAAAATGTACTTCAGTAAAGTCATGAGTACTCCCCAAAAATGATACTCGAGTAAAGTACAGAGGCCTCAAAATTATACTTAAGCACTGTACTCAAGCAAATGTACTCCGAAACTGTCCGGCTCTGTCTTTAGGCTGTAATTAACCCTCAGGTGCTCTTCATTTCAGAGTCACACGTGTTATCCTCCCGGTCAAAAGTGACCGGACACCTAAAAATTAAATTTCCCCCATCCAAGTAAAACCAATGCAATTTATTTTTGTTCTATAATTCTTTGTAATTTAGTATTTTGAGACAATTTTATTGAAATTTATTAATATTTATGCAATATTTATGGTCTATATTTGCCATGGAAATATATATATATTTTTCTATATATATAGTATTTTTTCCAAAAATTATTAATGCAGTATTTCTGACCGATGAGCACCTGAGGGTTAAACTGAGTCAGGCCCGATTGCTCTTAATCTTTTCCTGTTTAAATAAATAAATAAATAAATAAATCATAATTCAGAAAAAAGTCAGAATTGAGAAAAAAAAGTCTTGCAATTCTAAATTTATTTCTCAGAATTGCGACTTCATCTCACAATTCTGAGGTAAATTTTTTTACTCACAAAGTCAGTGTTTTTTTTCTTCAGAATTTGATTTATAACTCACAATTGCGTGTTTATATCTGTCAGCAAGTGTCACAGAAAAGTTCAAACACAAGTCTTTAATAGTAATCCACAACATAAAACGGACCCAAACACTAACATGACCGGATCTTAAACACAGGAAAAGACTGACAAATGAGGTAGTTAATGTACTGAACACAGCTGAACTAAACAAACGAATGACATACAGGGGTTGGACAAAAAAACTGAAACACCTGGTTTTACTACACAATAATTTGTTAGAATGGTGAGGGCCTCATTTTGCATCCAAATACAGCACCAATTGACAGATAGAAGTCCTTCACAGTGACCAGAGGGATTATGAGCCGTTCCTCTTCCAGAACAGTGTCCAGGTCACTATATGATGCTGGTGGACTCGCTCCTCCAAAACACCTCAATAATATTTAGATCTGGTGACTGTGCATGTTCAACGTCACTTTCATCTTCATCAAACCCTTCTGTCACAAGTCTTGCTGTGTGTGTTGGTGCATGATCATGCTGATACACGGTTTGAGCATCAGGTGCTCATGATCCTCCAGAAGGGTTTGGTAGTCCTCGGCAGTGTCGTGTCCATCAAATACAATCAGGATTGTCATGATATTGGAGCTCAAACCATCACTGATCCACCCGTGCTTCACTCTGAAGATTGGCCGCCATGCATATAGATGTGAAACCTCCAACATTGGCCAGTGTTTCAGTTTCATTGTCCAACCCCTGTACATAGTAACGATGACAGCACAAGAGGAGTGGGAAAAGAACAAAGGAACACAGTAACCTAATGAATACTGTACAAACTAAAAGTCCATGAAAACGAAACTCAACTGATTTTTTGTATCATTACACCCCTCCCTTGTAGCGGCAAGTGGAAAGGATTTGGCTTAAGAGGAGGATGTGAAGATGGCGAAGGGATGGTGACTGGAAACGGCAGAGGGATAGTGACAGGAGGACAATGAAACCCTGGCAGCGATGTTGGAAGATGCCCGCTGAAGCAAACCCAGAGCATAGCAGTGACACTGCCAATGGCGGTGTCGAGAGCGGGAAGAGCCAAGGTGGTGACATACGACATCCGTGCTACGACAGACGAAGAAGGAGCCAATGGATCCCAGGGTGCAGACCGAGAGCCAATAGAGTTGAGTGATACCGCTTGTACTGGAGACCTTGGCGGAGTCACAGAGACAAGAGTCTGAGGCGGAGCCAGAGTACTGAGGTGAAGATGGTGTGATGGAGGACAGAGGTGGAGCTGAAGAGAAGGAGGAACCCGCAGTAGCCATAGGGGTGGAAGGACTGAGCGCTGCGGAAGGCTTGTTAGTCCGTTGTGAAAGTAGAGTCAAGACTGACTGAGGTGGAGCGGGGAGGGAAGAAGAAACCTGGTGGAGCCGCAAGGCCGAGGGTCTCTGGTGGAGTCGAGAGTGGGAGAAGCCATGGCAGAGCCGACAGGTCGATAGGCTGAGGTGGAGCGAAGGGATTGAAGGCGGAGGTGGAGCCAAAGGATCCTCTCGCTCAGGCGAGGCTGGTCGATACAAGGCGTCACCGTGGAAGGCAAAGGGCTCCAGGTATCCAGCTGAGGTGGGGCTGGATTACTGGCTGAGCTTTACTGTGGGGGGTGACCGAGGTAAGCTTGAAGGGATCAATAATGGTAATAACAATTCCCAAAAGGATGATGATACCATTTCACTGCTTTATTGAAACAGCAATGATTGATACAAGGTGGGAAAGGGTGGGAGGCAGTACCTTCGTGTCCAAATCGATCAGCCAGTCTTCTCAGTCCAATTCCACTAGTATTCCCTCTGTTGCTGCTGTTGCTGGCTCACACCCCTGGTCAGACTCACTCTGGGGCATCGGGGCGATGGTCGGCGCTTTTCCTTCCTTGTCGATCTTTGGCTCACTTATTGCTCTTCGTCTGCAAGAGGCTCTAGTCTCTGTCGTCTCTTCGTCGTAGGGGCAGGTGATGGCAAGATGGACAAACTGCTCCATGAAATTAAAAACTTTGCAATTTTAGCAGCATAATCCATTTCTTGTGATCCGGTCTTATGTCAACAAGTGTCACAGACAGATGATGAAGAAGGATAAAGTTCAAACACGAGTCTTTCAGAACAAAAGGAAAGATAAAGCTGAACAAAAGTATGCTGAAAAATGAGGTAATCAATGACTACGTTTACATGCAGCCAATAACCCGTTCAAAACCGGGATATTAGCAATAGCCCGGTCGCAAACGGCCATGTAAACACCGGCAAAAACCCGAATATGCTCATATACTGGATTTTAAAAACCGGGATATTATACCTGGGGTACCCCTTTTCGAACCCGAATTTTTGGTCATGTGAACGCGTATCGGCATGTCCCCATAGTGATTTGTGTTCTGCGCATGTTCTATTCGCAAGAAATCTTGGTCTTTTGAGTGGAGAAACTTCTCGGTGCATACAAAAATCCGCGTGCAGAATACAGGAGGTAAACATGGCAAGACCAGGCGAGACGCAGCACAGCATACTTATGAAGCGAGCTCAGTAACGTTACCAGCATCAAAGCGCAAACAAAGGTGATCGCTATCTGCCTGGTACTATTCATTATCCACGTGCTGCTGTTGTTGTTGTCTTTGGATACAGGAAGAAAATTCGGAAATGACGCATATTGCGTCTTAAGGTTGTCCGTACATCGAGACCCTAAACGCGCATCGCCGCTTACATCGAGACATTGCAATTCCATGTATACAGGAGAAACTCTCTCTGCTCACACATGTAAACGGGTGTAACAATGTTCAAAGTAGTGGCAATAGGAAGAAGGAGACAGGCTCGGCGAAACTGGAACTCGTACTGTTTTTTTCACTCAGAATCGTACAAAACAAAAAGACGCGCACACAGCGCATTCACCGTAGTGCAGCTACAGCACAACTCATTTAGAAAAACTCTTTCCACGTTGATAACCATCCGGTTCCAGATCAACCTCACAGCACGCGCACGAGTTCCAGTCAGTTTCTCTCTCTCTCCACCATCTCCCACTGTGTGGTTTTTATCAGTCTCTCCACGCCAATCACTGCAATCAGACACAGGTGTTTATCATTTGCACTTGACCCACTCACCGCACAGCTCATTGACTCGTCTCTCACTACAGACGACGTGAAAACCACGCCCCCCCCTCACCACAACGGGTTATTCCTAATGTTTTAGAAACCCGAATTAACCCGGCCATAAACCGAAAATTGGCTGCATGTAAACGTAGTCAATGTAACGCAGCTGAACTAAACAAACTAATGACATAGTTACCATGACAACACAATAAAAGCGGGAAAAGAACAAAGGAACACAGGAAACTAATGAATGCAAACTAAAAGTCCATGAATACTAAGAACAGACACAACTGAATATTTGTAACAACATTCTGAAAAATTCAGAATTCTGAGATATAAACATGTAATTGTGAGAAAAAGATCAGAATTGCGAGATATTAACTCGCAGATTCTAGAAAAAAAATCTGAATTGTGAGACAGTCACAATTATCTTTTAATTTGTTTTATTCCTTAGCAGAAACAAGCTTCCTTAGAAAAAGGTTGTACTACTTAATGTTTAATTATTTTGTAACATCATTTGTAAATCTCTTTACTGTCATATTTGATTAATGTAATACATCCTTGCTGAATAAAAGAATTATCTTACTGACCCCCAAACATTTTTTGGGTAGTACCTAACATGGTAGTGGGTTAATGTGTAAAGCTATTTTTGTCCAAATAACATAATATAGCTTTATTCCTGGCTTTCTGGACGAAAGTATTTAAGCTTTATCATTTTGTGTGAGAAAACAAAACCATTCAATACAATTACACTCAACTGCTAATCATTAATCAAATGCAACACCCCATATAAAAACACATTCCAGTATGGCTGCATCACGGAGCCGTGACCTCTAAGATTTCACAACTGCCAAGTAAGTCAACTTCCACTGGCAACGTGTGCAAATTCATTTCGACGATTACATATAATATTGAAAAACGCCATCACTCAACCCAAAGTCAGCCAGGCATAAACCAAAGATGAATGTCTCAATGGTTTCCTCATTCATTTTTTCCAGTCTGAAATGGTGAAGAGACGAGACATCAGAAGAGTAGCTGATCACACAATCTGGGCAGCATCTGTTTCTGAGCAACTGGGTTTCTTAACACGATGATTGCAAGGGTAATAGTTTTAATCTGAGGTTTTAGACATATTAGCTGCAAAGTTGTATAGAATGATAGACTATGACTTACAGTATGTGACTTTTAATGCTGTAATGACTTGCTTCTCTTCAAATAGGTATTTCTTTTGCTTACAGTTTTGCTATAGTGAACTATAAACTATAGTGGCTAGTGGCATTGCAGGGGCCAACAGTGACTAATGGGTGAATAATTGTTACCGTGGCTCCTTTAAACCTCATTTTGCTCAATTATTGATGTGCCAGACCTAAAAAGCTGACCAGGTCATCTGTCTTCATACACATAATTTTACCCCATCAGTAACAGTTGCCTTTCAATGTGTCTCCAGAGAGGTGGTAGGCCTATACCATTTCTAATAGGTGCCTCCTCCCTCTTCCTGCCAGCATAGAGATAACGTTTTACTTCTGATCTGGAAGCAATTTGATATTTCCTTTTAATGATAAAGTAAAAATCAGAGCAAAAGGGCAAACCTCCACTGAGAAGCGCAGAGGAAATCATGCCTGTTCTACAGTACAGAGCACAAAGCAGTTCTTTTTCCGAACTTCTCTGCAGCTGCCATTTGCACGTCAAGTCCCATCGGTCAAAACACCCCTGATGGCTCATCTGATTTTCAGTGGAGTCATGCTATGTGATGGTTGCTAGAGCTCAATGGAGTATCTTTTGAATAGAGAAATTACTGTATGAGACTCGAAAACACAGTGGACTCAGTCATCATGGTGTTGATGAAGGAGATATAAGTGTGAAATTCTTAAAGTGTGTGTGAGTGTGTTAACCAAATTGTCCCCAGAATTGAGATAAACTGCACTGAACTGGACTAGAATAAAATTGTGCTAAATTGATTTGAATAATGAAACTATGCACAGCTGCTATGAAGTCATTTCAGAATTGATTAACTTTGCAACATTGACACAGCTGTTGAACTGAACTGAAACAACATTGCACTAAATTGAGTCTAACAATGACATTATTGTCTTCTGAGCTGATTAGCGGAATTGAATTGGTTTCATAATTTGCAATATCGACACTGTTATTGAACTTACTTGAATCAACAATGAAATAACTTATATTATATACTATACTATTATTTGCTACATGATGTAAGTGTTTGGCATTCTAGAAGCTGATGAAGAGGTGTTTTAACCTAATGTCATTGTCATCCCATATTTAAATGTACCACAATACCGTTTTACCAGTCCGTTCTCATCCCAAGGCATCATATACAACGCTTTTGCCAAAGCGTACTGGCGCTTTTCCACTGCTGGTACGGGTTGGTACGGCTCAGTACGGTTCGGCTCGGCACGGTTTGGCTCGTTTCGCTTTTCCACTGCGTGGTATGACTTGGTTCGACATGGCACGGCTCGGTTCGCTTTAGCTCGGTTGCTTTTCCACTGCAGTTAGTAGCTTTAAAGTGGGTGGGATTATAGACTGATTGATAACAGCAGTGGCTGTTACTGGCTATTTAAATCTAGCGGGTTTGGTTTCTTGTGTCGATGTCTATTGGTCGCAAATACAATGACGCCGTTACTGACGATTCTGTCTGACCAATCGGTGATCTGCAGTGTTTTACGTCACATTTAGTACCGGTACGGTACGCTTGGAACCTCAAAAGACCGCCGTACCGAGCCCTAGTGTACTGTGCAGTGGAAAAGCGCCTAAGCGTGCCGTACCGAACCGAACCATACCGTACCATGCAGACATCCAACGCACATGGCACCCTTTAGCGTCAATATGAGATGCAGATATATATGGGGCAGAAGGCGCCTCCTAGTGGTCTAACCCTAACGGGATGAGATGGGATGAGAATGCGTTGTTTTTACAATACTCATCATAATCATTAAATAAATAAACAAATGCATACATTATAAAAAAATATTCTTACCAAAAGGCCTGTATTCATTTATTTCATTGTGGTATTTTTGTGGTTAAATGCCATTTAATTAATGATTACATTTTCCGTACATGTTTTGATATATGTTAAATATCTTGCTATACACAAATGACTTACCTTGATTGTTTTCACAGGGTCCTTTGTGCGCATTGGTGACCGCGGGCAGACCCTGCTGCAGCGCTTTCCTGCTCACGGCCTTCAGCTGGCAGATGTTCCCGTACGTGTTCCCGTCACTGCCACACACTTTACTGCTGTACCTACACTGACAGACCCCTTTGGACAGTCTCTTTCCAAACGGGTGCTTGCACTCCAGACCGTCCCCGCAGGGCAGATCGTCCTTGCGGCCGCACGGCTCGCCCTCTCCGTGTGCGCACACCAGACAGCAGTTACAGCGGTCCGGCACATACCCGCTCGGACAGCTCGGGCTCGGACACTTACTCACATCACAGCGCTCCGGGCACTTGGGTTTAGTTTCCGCAATAGCATTTAAAATGTAAAGAAAAGCTACCGAAACGAACAGAATGACCTGCATTTTAAATGAAAACGTTTTAATTCTCAGACAGCTCTCTGGAGATCACCATTACGCATCAGATTTCCAAAGCAAAAAGCGAATTTCCGATGAGATGTGTGCGTTCCTGTAGGCTCAGTTGTAACCAGTGTGAAGAGGTTGTCACAGAAAGAGGAATATTTCTTATCCAAGCCAATCTGATCTCTTGGTGATCCGATATTCCTCGTGCAAATGATTAAAACAGTGTGTGAAGCCACTTGATGTGTGTGTGGTGCTGTTACTTCTGCATCTGCCGACCATCTCAACATCCTTGACTGGAGTCTGCTTTTCTCTTCTCCCTAGAGGAGGCGGGGAATTTCGTGAATCACAAATCTCTGAGTTTTCACATGTAGGAAGTCCGACTCATTTCCTTTCGAACGTTTCGTTGCAGAGAATCGATTCATCTATTCTTTTTGCCACTCAAAAAAAAGTTAACAATAAACACCCTACTAAAATGAATTTACTCTCGACTGAAAAGGGTTATGCAGTTTATTTAAAGCTAAACGTGTTATATGTGGGAAAAAATGCTATGCATGGGAAATCCAGCAAAGCTTAATTCATTTCTGCTATCTCGGTTTTATCAGACAGTGAGTGAGTTGTCCGAATAATCGCTTGTGGAAAAAAAAAAACTCCACTTAAATGTTTTGAATGTAGCCTACACTTGTAGCCTATTGTTTAACAATTTAAAGTAATTAACAAATTTACTTGCATGTTTTTAACGTTAATGTATTTTAATGTAGGCTACTAAATTGCAAAGAATAATTAAATGGTTAATTACAAAATAGGAATACATGTCACGTTTTAAATGACATTTTAGTTTACCATAAATACTTGGCAGAACATTGTAAAACATGAAATTACAAAGAAAAAATGTACTTAAGTCCCACTTAAAAAACACTCTTAAGTGCATTTCAAATCAATTTTAATTATAATAAATTTGTATTTTATTAATGAATTAACAATTCATTTATGATTCATATCTGTATCTGAAAACATTACATTCAGTTCACACTTAGTACATTCTTTTAAAATATATATTTTCCTTAACACTTTTAAAAAGTAAAGTGTAAATGAAGAGTTCAGATGCAAAAGCCTCTAAATGCCATTTAAAATTTTCTTCTTTAATGATGATTTTTATCAAACTTGTATATTTAAGTTCAGTAATTTCACTTAAATTGCAATGATAATTACCTATTAATTGTTATTTAAGTGAAATTACTGAAGTTAAATATATAAGTTTGATAAAAATCATCATTAAAGAAGAAAATTTCAAATGGCATTTAGAGGCTTTTGCATCTGAACTCTTCAAATATTTCCCCACAAATGACTTTAAAGATCCGACATTTGTAAAAATCATGAATTAAAAACATCATCATCTCAGTATATTCTTGCCAAATCCGGTGTACTTAGTCCCCTTGTCATTCTTAATTGATCCGGAATGGGTTGCTACAACAACAGATTTATTTTTAGGATTAAAAAAAAAAGAGAAAAAAAAAAGGGCTCACTTGCACTCAAGGTTTGTTTTGGTCATTCAAAGAAAGCTTGCAACTTCATATTGTTAAGCAATTAAATTCAGCATTAGATCCAATTTTATTGAAAAGCAGTGCCAACATGGTCTCTTTTTGGCACATACATTTGAATGCCACCAAGGCACTAGACCGTACAGTGCCAGTGGGTTTGTTTTCACTGAACTGGGAGGGTTTGAACCAACTCATGTAGCCTATTTCACCAGGCATGTTGTTTATTTAAATCTACAATGCCTGTTCTTTTCTGCTCTTAGTACAAACAGAACAGCTCTTGTTTGGGTAAAAATGTCTTCACTGTCATCACTTCCACATGTCAACCAAACATAAGACCATTTTTAAAGAATGGAAAATCAGGGACAATAAAAGCTTCAGATTATCATCATTATAAATTTTAGAGAACAAGAAAAAAAAAGTTTTCCATCATGGGATTTCGTGCCAAATAGACCACGTAAAAGTCTATTTAGTCCCAAAACATTTAAGAATGAATGTGCCTGAAGGTTGCATTGCTTACACTTCAGTAAACACTTGCTGGGCAAATCAACATTTTATGAGTCAGACATGTAAAATAAATCAAATAATCCAAATAACATCCGGCGAATAAAAGTAAACAGAGAAAATTCACACACAAGTCAAATCAAAACATGCAGAGGAAGTGTCATATCCCATCTGAAGCCATTTCTATCTTGTTGCCCCAGTTATTGTGTTTTTGTACTGGGCTGTGGTCCTGAAACTGTAGTCTGGAGCCAGGTTGATACGGCGAATGTGGAGGTCATTAGCGAAAGCTCGCGCTCGCTGGTAGAAGAACAGCGAGAGTTCCCGGTCCATAAGAAAGTTGTGGTAGATAGTGGCCAATCGAGTGCACAGCTCTAGCTGAGATCTCTTGTTGCCCAGATCCATAGCAGCAGCCAAGGCCAAGTGATAATAGCCAGCGGCGTCAAACGGGTCCTGGGATTCAGAGGGAGAGAAGGTTCTACAGTTTATATACAGAGATCTGATTTTGTGTTTTATTCAGATTTCCATATTAACTGAAGTATGTATTAATGCTAGGGTAATATATTTCTTTATTGATTAATTTATTTAAATAATAATCGAATAAAAACATTATTTTGTAGAATAATAATAATTATTATTACTTGTATTATTATTGTCATACTGAATGAGAAAAACAAAAAAACAGGTATTCCCTTATTTTTTGTCCTTAGTTGATGAAATGCCTGGATATACAATGTAATGCAAAACAATATATTTTGCATTCTGAATATGACTAGTCACTACACTTATATTTTCTACTTTGAGTGGATGTGAATGAGGTGTGAATAAAAAAAAAAATAATAATTCATTCAGTATGTACTTAGACTGCCATCTTCTGGTTTATTTCAGATTTACTGCAAATCTGGAATTAAAAGTAATTCACATTTTTTTTAAATACTATCTCCTCTTCCAACTTAATACGTAGAGACAACCAATTAAGCAACTAAAAGTAACTAAGAACACTGATTTCCCAGAAATACTGTTGCTCTATTGTAGTTTTCAAAATATTTCACTGCTTGTGTGGTTGGAACTAGCTCTGGAACTGTGGTTAGAAGAAGCATAGCGTAGATTAGAAGCAAATTACACTATACTTTTAATTTGTGCAAAGAATAAGCGTCATATGTCATAGTACGTCAAAGTATGACATAAGAGGGAACGTGATTTAATTCAACCTCTGTAAATAAAGCAAAATAACAGAAAAAGTATTCCTCATACACTGCATTCATTATTAACAGAAACAGTCTGACATTAAAGGTATTGTAGGTAGGAATTTTATGAAAAACTTTTTTCCCAAATTTGTTTAAACTTTCTGTATATATCAATGCATAATTAAAATGTAAGTACTCTGAAAAAGAAAGTATAAAAATCGAGTGTCTGTAGACCTCTCACGACAGCTCATTATTTCCATTCACTTCACCCCCTCCTTTCTGGGCTCCTTCCAAAGCCACGCCCCCAAAACACATGAACGCGCGACTCCAACCGCTGAGCTGAAGTCACATTATTTACCTGAGAAGAGCGGAGAGAAAGGAGCGCAGTGCATGTACTGATATCATGTCGGAATCACGTGTAATAAAAAAATTTAACTTTATCATTATGAACATAAACAAATAAGATGTATTTTGATGCACTTTTTGATGTATCTTGATGCACTATCAAGCATCAAGCTATTGGTAACGTTTAAAATATACATTTATTGATTCGCTAACGAGCTAGTTATCTATTAGGCAAAGCTAAAAACAGGTTGCATGATGCATGTTTTTCCTTTGCCATCATTTACACTGTGATGAAGATGAATTTCGTGTAAGATTCATAACATATATGGTGTTCGGCATGTAGCCTAAGAAGAGTTTCCATGAGGCCTACACTCCAGAGACAAGATCTCATGAAATGGCGTATGTATGACACGCCAATTCGTATTTCCATTTTTGGCGTGCTATCAACACGCATAATCGCTTTTCAGCATGTTTATGAACGCTGTTGACTTTACATTACGTAATATATGAGCTACCTCAACTCCGTCCCTAAACCTACCCGTCACTGGGGTTAATACCATTTATGAGTCTTCCCCTACCATCCTAGAAAAAAAATATCGCTCACCAGATGTAGATCTACATTTTGCTTTGTTCCGCTCGGACATTTAACGGCGTGTACAGACACGCGGAATCAATCGGACATTTAACGGCGTAGACGCGCGGATAGCTCAAAATGCGTATAGATAACACGCCACTTGACTTGAAAGTGCCGTGTATAGGCCCGTACACACCGGGACGAATATCAGCGCGCGTTATTCGTCAGCGTTTTTCAACGCGTTTTTTGTGTTCACACCCAAGCGTTTTTCGCTGACGATGAGCCGAGTGAACATGCAAATTCATTCCCTGACATTAGATGGCGCTTAATGTAAAACAGAAATAATAATAGAATACTATACTAGGGTGATCATATTCATGTCTCAATGTTTTATTTTGAGAGATAGAAAAAAAACGAATGAAATAATGATAGAAATAATGTCTTCTGTAAGACAAATAATAAATATAGAAAAATAAATATATAAATAATAAATAACTAAAAAATGCCTCCAAATGTAACAAAAAATAGCTCTCACAAACTTACAAAAACGAACTAACAAAATCTATTTATATCTTTAGTTTTCATTTTCTTTATCTTGCTTTTCTTCCTCATCCACCTTGTTTGCCCATCTATATTTTCCTGTAGAACTGATCTTTCCCAGCAGTTTTTGTTTGAAAACCAGGACATTTTCATCACTTAAAAACAGTCAGGACAGGACGTGGAAACAGGACATGTGTAACGCAAAGTTGAGATGTTGCCCAGAGATAAAAACATAGCAGTTGTCAGATGAACAGATGCACGAGAGACGAGAGTTGTCGTATTTCCCCGCGTTTAATAAAACCACTCAAACGTCACACTCGTCCTCCTCATAAACGGGGATCGAGCGAGAGAAAACAAACAAACAAGCATCTGGTCACAATAGAAAAATAAAATAAAAGAAAGAATACAAAGAGTCGGCACAGCGGTTATCTCCTCTCCTCACTTGTCAAAATCTAACTGACATTATGCACACTATGCGCAGTTCTCATCTCCACTCAGATTTCTATAAAGCACAAAGTGACCGTTTTACATATGTCCCGGGAAAACAGGACTGTTGGTCACCCTATACTATACTATTATTACAGAAATACTAATATAAATATTATCTTATAGCTCTTTGTGCTCCGAGGCCAGCAGCTCAACATTCATCTTGCCCATACAGTAGGTATCTTGTCTCTTCTTCGCCGTATGTGTGCTCGGCAAGACCGTTTTGTGTTTGAGCGCCCTCAAGTTGTGTTTTACTGTAACTTCAGAAGTACCAGACACGTGAGCAAACCCGCCGATCTCGTTGGTCGGATAGGTTTTGACGCGGCGCGTCAAACCAAAAAAACGAACCCGAGGCGTTTTTTTAAAAATGACGCTTTTACGCGTGGCGTTTTTCGCGTCGGTGTGAACACTCACATTGGCGCCCATTGTTTAGTCACGAGGCGTTAAACGTCGACGAATAACGCGCGCGAAATTCGTCCCGGTGTGAACAGGCCTTATGTTTACGCAAAAGTCATGATGTCATGTTACCGCATCGTCAGCTCGAGGACAGATCCGGTGTCGAGGGCGAAGCAGAGGAGGTCGTGCAACTAGGGTCCGAGGAAGTAGAGGCCGAGGACGGGGTGATCGAAATGCAGGGCAAGGGGCACTTCTTGGACAAGAGGACCTGTGTCGAGTTTTGCATCTTCAAGCTCAAACAAGGGCATGTGAACAGGTATGATCTGGATACGCGCAAGTGGGTAGGTCCTGTGTGGCAAAAGGTTGGTTGCCATGGTTGCGAGAGAGTGACAGTGGCCTAAGCCAATCCTTTGTTTCGTCCCGTTGGAAATAATGAGCTGTGTTTAGTGCAGATTAAACGGTCTAGAGTCACTCGATTTTTATACTCTTTTTATCAGAGTACTTACATTTTAATTATGTATCAATATATATAGAAAGTTTAAACAAATTTGGATTTTTTTTATATATAAAATTCCTACCTACAATACCTTTAATTTGATCTTGTACTGATGAATCAGCAGTAGTCAGCATTCACCACCTGCGTGACATCACTAATGTCTAATGTAATGAAACAGTTGTGACTAGCTATAGTTTGCTTCTCCAACGATTCATCGTACAGTTGTAGTTAAGTAGTGAATTACGTCGTGCTTCAGGGAATGGCGTGAGTTTTGGAGCGGGACTAACTGTTCATCAAACCAATGGCAGATGTCCATAGCTTACCTTTACATCATAGAAGATGATGTCTCCAAGTGTTTGGTAAACCCTGACATAGTACAGGGCCTCCTCGTCATACTGCAGCGGTGAGGGACACAGGGACAGGGCTTTCAGAAAGTGGTGCTCTGCCATTTCAAACTGACCCACACAATGGTACAATGTGGCGAGGCGATGGAATGCCACACGTTCATTTAAATGGTCAGCTGTAAGAAAATACCCAGACGAATGAAAAAGACTGTTATTTGTCTCTCCTAAAGGTTTTCGGCTGTTAATTGTTGTGAACATGAGTTTCCCGGACAGCAACATAAGTCGGCACAGATCCGGGCCACATCTGGTACACATGGCCACCAGATGTGGGCCGGATCTGGGCCGATTCTATGTTACTGTCTGGGTTATCAAGTGTGCTGTATTGTCAAAAAAACAGACAGGCAGGAAGCCACACTCATTCTGAATAAAAGTATTGATCATTTAAAAAAAAAAAAATGTTGTGCAGATGTGTTCACCTACCCAGACTCACGCTAATGTCTAATGCGGTTTGAGTGAACTCAATGGCCTCTGAACACTGTCCCAGCTGCAGAAGAAGCTCTGAAAGCTTGTTACACAGCCGAAGCTGAGAGCGCACACTGCTCGTCTTCACTGCGATGGGAAGGGCTCGGTCCTTAAAAACAGATACACACATTCTTAGCACAAACACAGTGAAGGATTTGGATGGGATGAATGTTTTCTAATAATAAATGCTGCAATAAAGAAAAAGGAAATTACAAGGACCTGACATTCACAGAGTGCAATAACAACACAGTGCGATAGACCTCCCTCTTCCTCAACAATGTGTGCATGACCTACCCTGTAAAAACAGATGGCTTTCTCTCTGTCCTGTGAACTGTTGAAGAAAACATCCCCTGCTGCCTCCAACATCTCCAGGGCGAAGAGCGTGTCTCCTGTGCTCAAGGCCATGTCCTGGGCTACCTGTTACATTGAGGAAGTTCAAGCAATTTTCCAGTTACCATTATCATAGGAAATGCAACTTGAGTCATGCGTCACTATTGCTTACACACACACAGACGTTTACGTAGCTATCAAACTGTACTGTATATTGTCTCCCCTTACACTAACCCTACCACTAAACCTAACCATCACACACAACTTTCTGTAAATTTAAATTTGTACATTTAAAAAAAAAAAAAAACTTTAATTACTTTATATTTATACCAGATTTACAAATGAAGACATCTCTAAAGGAAGGTTTTTGGACATTTTCGTCACTTCTGGGCTCAAATTTGTCCACAAAATATGTGTATGTGATGAGAGAGAGAGAGAGAGAGAGAGAGAGAGAGAGAGAGAGAGAGAGAGAGAGAGAGAGAGAGAGAGAGAGAGAGAGAGAGAGAGACACACACACACACACACACACAATTACTATTTTACACATTTAAGTTACCTGAGGTAAAGGGCTACAAATAAATGTTGATTGATTGATTGATTGATTCTTCAAGTAGCCACAGCTCTGCACCAGTTTTGTTAGTGTTAATTTAACATAAAACAAAATAAAATATAAATGTTGTTGAAACAAACTTGAAGAATTAGAAATATCCAACAAAAACTAATATGACAAAATGGCAACAACAAAAAAACTAATTAAAACTGAAAATGTAAAAAAATAAAAGTTCAAAAGAATAATACTACAATCATAAATCATATAAAAATGACACTGTTCTGCCTGGACACTCTGATTTGTATTCTGGGTGCTTGGTAATAATTTGTGTTGTCACCATTATCTGCACACAAAAACAAACGGGTACAATCACAACTCAAAACCAAAATAAACAGTGTTCCAACCAATCACCGACAGGGGTGGGTTTTGTGAGGTTTTGCACTTGTGCGGTTGGGTTGGCACAGCTGGAAGCGAAGTCGGAGCAAAACACGTCCCTGTCGGTGATTGGTTGGAACACTGTTTATTTTGGTTTTGAGTGGTTGTACCCCAATGTTTTTGTGTGCAGATTTCGGAGCCTAGGCTGCCTACAGAGATGTGTTTTTTGACAGCCTGCTTATGGGGCGGGCAGCTAGAGGATCGTTAGGAAAAATTTAAATGAATGTGATCATTTATTTTTGGGCCTGAAAATCCTGATACAAGCTTTAACCTTTTTGTAAGACTGTCAGTCAATGCATACAAACTAGATGTGTACAAAGATTTATACACTTAATCCTATTTAAATTTGATTTAGATTCTGAATTTGAGTTTATGTTCAATATGTGTTCGCCCCCAAATATCCAATAGTTCAAATCACAGTAACTCGCTGGAATGCAGGGAAGGATGACTGAATGAAGGCAATAGTCAGTCACCTGCACGTAGAGGTCCACTAGCTCCGTCTGCTGGAGGATGTGGTAAATCTTCCCTGACTGCAGCCAGGCATGAGCCTCCTTACGTTTCCTGCCCAAGTCGATGAAGATGCCCAGGCTCTGCTTGGTGTAATCTAAAGCAGCTCTGTTGGATCTGTGAAACAATATGACCAAGAATTTTAGCAAGGCTGTCTTATTAAATATTAATAATATGGGATGTTTTACTCATTGATGTCTCATTATTATTACTAAAAGTACTTAGGGCTAAACCACCACTTTATTAAATTTGAAAATTTTAAACATTATAATGAAAGTTTACCCAAAGATGAAAATAATCTCATCATTTACACACCCTCATGTCATTCCAAACCTGTATGCTTTCTTCTGCAGAACACAATAGAAGATATTTTGAAGAATGTTGGTAACCAGTTTTGGTGACCGTTGACTTTCATTGAGATGATTTCGAAACAAAAATCATGTTCCACGGAAGAAAGAAAGCCAATGAATTGACATTTTCAATTTGACATGAACTATCCCCTTATTATATTGCAATTACTGTCAATCTTTTTTTAAATGTAGTCATGGGCAGGTCTCACTTCTCGGTGGCCAGGTTCAGGTAGAGCTGGCTGATCTTCTCCAGTATCTCTCCCTCTAAGCTCTTGTCTCCCATCTGCCGGAGAAGTTCCAGCTGGTGCTTGTTGTAGATGATGCACTGGGCTTCGTCTGGACACACCTCTTCGTATAGCTGACACAGGTGACGTGCGGCTTGGAGCTGGCCTGCCGTCAAGCAAATGAGAATATAATTGAGGCATGAAGGTATACAGTAAGTCTGGTGACCAGCAAACCTGATTATATGCCATCCAATAGAAGTAATTTGTGACACAGCAGAAAAGGAATGTCATTTAATAATTACTGCGTTAGACTAAACTGAGAAGGGTCATAGCTCTTACATATTGTTGTCCTATTGTTAGTTTACTGCTTGCTCTCTTCATTTGTAAGTCGCTTTGGATAAACGGACTGAGCATTAACGGGTTATTTACCCCCAAATTTGTTTACCTGGAAATGCAAGCTCATGCGAAAAGTTTTGCATTTCGCAGTGTTCCAAAGTTAAAGTTTGGTGAATTCTGACCTGTGAATTCGAATCACATGAAGACATGTGACCAGTAGAAGATGGGTACGTCATGGTGGGACCCAGTGTTGTAGTACTCGAGACTCGGACTCGGTCTCGAGACCATATTTTAATGGTCTTGGTCTTGTCATGGACTCGTGTCCATTTGGACTCGGAATTGACTCGTACTCGAGCATTTTTTTTTTAGGACTCGCAATTATTCCAGAGTCTACTCGAGTTCAATTCAAAATATTTTTCATGATTATTAATGTATGTTAATAAAATATTTCTTTAAATTGATTGACATGCCCAGTGATTGGTGATTTTCTAGTGCGCAACTGCGCATGACAAATTGTAATAAAATTACTTTTAACACCACCTACTATGTGGCCTTTTTACCCTAAACTGATCATATTTTTTAGACTCTAAGTAAATTCAGAAAAAAAAAAGGATTTCTCTAAGTAAATAAAAGTAAATTAGGTAATCAACCCTCACTGGTCCCGGTCTCGACTCGGACTCGACTCGGACTCGACTCTCTATGGACTCGGTCTTGACTCGGACTCGACTCTCTCTGGTCTCGGTGTCGACTCGGACTAGAGTGAGGTGGTCTCGACTACAACACTGGTGGGACCTCTTGGCTAAGAGAAAGAACTATATTTTTGCAGTGTAGTCAAGATTGTATATTGTTACATTTTGATGTATTACCATTTGTTAGTTGTCAGAGACACCAGATTCAGTGGCCAAGAGTTGTGTCGCACAGTAAAGATCTGAAGCAGCAGAGAGGAGCAGCAACTGGCTGTGGTTGAGATGGAAAGATTCCAGCTGGCTATGTACAGGTCGCCATGCGACGGTTAAGTATAATTCTTGAAAAACTCGCAGAGTCTGTTGGTTTATTTGTATAGTTTAATTACAGGTATTACATTCCTGTGTTTATTGCATGAATGAGGGGTGGTGTTTGGGCAGATATTGTGTTTTGTGGTAGGTGTTATGCCATACGGAACCGTTGCCACTGAAACAGCTTTAACGAAGACAGTGGGGCTCGACAGCCTTAGTCAAACGGGTTGGCGCGTATGGTTGGGTAGCTGATGGGTTGAATCGGGTGTGTTTGATTAGGGAGACAAAGAAAACACGCAGTGTTGGTGTGCTGCCAGGAACAGGGTTGGGAAACACTGCACTAGGGAGACCACACTGTAGGTGCAGCCGTTGTGTGCTGACGCGGCAAGTACACTGCAGCCGTTAACGCCGGACAGAAGGAGATTCACATCACCATATGGAAAGAAGCGTAAATGGATGGAGAAGCATGGTTTACTGCAAAGCTACGTCTTAGTTTGTGCTTATCTTGGCGAAACCCTAGTACAAATCAGCATGAAGTTTTAACATCTTCTCTCGTGTAATGGAAATCATGTTATATGTTGAATTTGTGTTTATAAAAGTTTGCGGGTTCGATTCTCAATACCGGCAAGAAATGACTGAGGTGCCTTTGAGCAAGGCATCTAATACCCAATAGCTTGTTTTCACGTGATGTCACGCCACTGTGTTGCCATGGCGTGAAATGCAAATGGAGGGCAGGAAGTGATTTACTGTATTTAGAAAGCACTATAACAAACTCAAAATGCCTGTGTTTTGAGTCATTTATAGTTACTTGAATCGATTAAACCACAAGGAGTTTTTATCGTGTGCCAAAAGTTGTTGTTCATAAGGGGGGAAAATGCAAGAAATTGATCGAAAAACTCTGGAAAAACAGCTTGCAAACCTACATCTGCGGTCAGGAGGAGCCAAATGGGATAATGCTCGTGTGTCTAACGTTAGTGATCACTTCGTCAAAGGTGAGTTAATACAACTTAAGTGACTGTTTGTGTAACGTGTAATGTTTCCGAACTTTGTAAAGTCAAAGTCACGCTCCTCTTCATAACATAAGGATTACGTCCAACATATGTTTGATTTTTTGTTTATTTCTTTCTCTTGTATTTAGCGTGTGAAGTAGTACAATACGGACTTTCCGGACTTTCTTCACTCCCTGCCCTCCATCTGAATTCTGCGCATCATCATAATCACGTGACTGAAACACAGCTATTGCTCCCTGGGCGCCACAGCAAAATGGCTGCCCATTAGTTCAGAGGTGTGCAGTGTGCGTTTGTGTTCACTACTCACTACTCCTAATGTGTGTGCACTGACTTGGATGGATTAAATGTAGAGGACAAATTACAAATTTTGGTTACCATACTCAGGCTTCACATGTCACTTAAAAAAATAAAATAAAAATGAAGATTTACAGTTAAAGGTGCTCTAAGCGATGTCGGGTGACGTGACTTCTGGTTGACGTTTAAAGTATTTTCAAACAAAACGGAGGCTAGACAGACCCTCCCTCCTCCTCATCTGCGCACTGACCCCCCAAACCCCACCCCCAGGGCCTTCTTGTCAGTTATTGGCTGGAACAGTTTGTTATGTTTCATGGAGCGGGTTGCCGCAGTTTGTTTTTGTTGCCATTTGTGGAGCCTGGGTTGTCTGCATAGACCGCGTTTTTTTACAGTGTGTTTTTAGGGGACAGACAGCTAGTAGATAGTGAGGAGATGTTTGCTGTATGTGACAAAAAAAATGTGTTGGCCTAAAAAACCTAAAAAACTTTTAAAAAAAAATATGACTTTAGAGAAATTATTACGTCAATATGTTCTAGATGTCCTTGGTTTCACTTCCACTAATACAGCTATGATAAACACTTACTGTCCATATGATCGATGTACATGGCGGTCAACAGGGCCCATTCATAGTAGATCTTCCCATTCTCATGTTTTCCCTGGGAAATATAGTGTCTCCCTAACTCAAGAAGCACTGAAATAAAACTGAGTTCATGCCCTTCATCCTCAAGCTCAGAGAACAGCTCCACTGACTGAGTGAGGTATTCTTCTGCCAATCTTTTTGCCTTGATTTGCAAACACATGAATCCATAGTTGGCCAACGCTATGGCCCAGTTATGTCTGTCCTCAAACTCCTCGCATATCTCGATTGCAGCCCGGTAACTCTCAGCTGCTTGACGGATGTCCGCTGAATGTCTGTATGAAATGGCCCGCATGTTGTAAACCACACCTTCCAGTTGTGTTGTGCAGTGCTCTGGGAGGGATGACAGGACAGCATCCAGCACTTCCAGAGCGGTGCCGGGTTGCTGGTTGCAGATGTACAGCCACGCCATCCAAATGAGAGCAGCAGTCGTGTCTGACTGGCCAACGCTGGACATGCTGCTGTGGTCGAGGACGGTTAGCATGTAGCGAACTGCTCTCTCGGGCATGCCGTGTCTATGGAAGAGCCAGGACAAACACAGAGCGTGGACATGACCCAGCGCAGGCTCCTGGCCGGGGGACACTAAAGCAATGGCACGGGCCAGGTATGGAGCCACTTGTGTTGGGATGTCCACTCCATACAGCTCTGATGCGTTTTCCATCAACAGAGAGACACCACAAAGACAGTGTGAAGCGGTGGCTCCTACCTGTGAAAGAGAACGGATAAATGCACAAATCAATTTATTTTATTTGATTGCATTTTTTTATTCATTCATTTTTAGTCCATTTATTTTAATGCACTTTTTGTTGTATTAATTAATTAACTATTTAATTGAATTCAATTTTATCAAATTTAATAAAATGTATTACATTGTTTTTTAGTTATATAAAATTCTTTTTTTTATACAATTTTAATGTACAATGTACAAAAAAGAACAAATATATTAATTTTCTAATTGAATTTTAATTTATTAAATAAACTGTAATAATTGAATGAATAAACATTTGTTTATTTATTTATTTTTGTTTTAAATTTATTTTTTATTCATTTTTACATTTAAATACAGTTTTCTCTGTGACACGATGGCTCCTACCAGTGATCAAATAAATGCATAATTTAATGTATTTAATTTAATTTGATTTATTTACTAAATGTATTTTTATTTAAATTATTTTTTTTCAAATGAATAAACTTATTTAATTGTATTAATTAGCTTTGGATTAAATTAAATTAAATTATATATATATTATATTATATTATATAAAATTAAATGTTGTATCTATGTATATACTGTATATATATGAAGACTTCAGATGTAAAAGTCCGTCTAACATTTTTCTTTAATATTAATATATTTAGCAGGCTCCTAAGTACCTACATTTCTGACTGGGCTGAGGTTTAATGAGTTTGAAGTGAAAGTTTTTGATGAACGTATACTATGTGCGGAGAGCATTCACTCAATATTATTATCTCATTTTTGACATAGGAGGCTTTTAGAGGCTTTTGCACATTCAATAATATACATTCTCTCTGAAAACACTAGCACCGACCTGAAGTGATGCTCGCCGTGCGGAGCTTTCGGCCAAACGTGGCAGACCCTGTTCGCTGTAGAGTCGTGCTAACACCAGGAAAACATGGCTCATAGTCTCATCACATGCTTCAGGAACCTCGTCAGCAAGGATCAAAAGCCTTTCGATGAACGGGATTGCACTCATGCTGTCTTTAAGCTTCAGGTGGAGCTTTGCCAGGATGAAGCAGGCTCGGGCCTCGGCAGGCTGATTCTTGGCCAGGATGGCCTTTTTTAGTACATACTTCAATACCTCAGGGTCCTCACAGCCAAACAAACAATCAGGGACCGCCATCAACAAAGCAGACAAGCGCTCTGACGTAGTGAACAATTTGTCATGGTTCTTCTGTGTTAGGTAGATGAGTGCCAGGTTGGAGTAAATGGCGGAAAGCAGAAACATGTCTGTGAAACAATCCCTGGGTACATTCAAGGCTTCCTCATAATAAACCCGAGCTTGAGAGAACTTTGACCTCCCTGCACAAAGCTGTCCGAGAAGAAAACAGATTCGGCTCTGCGCCCACGAGACGTACTTCTTTCGTGCCAATTCTCGGGCTACACCTAAATACGCCACTATATCCTCCTCATCAGAGTGACCCTCGAAATGTGAGATGAGGAATTCTGGGTAAGCGGTGTACAGGAGCATGAACTCAGGCTGGTAGTCACGACTGCTCAAGAATGAGAGGAGAGCATGATGTCCGCCTGGACTGCTGCTGTCCTGCTCAGAGCTGACACAAAAACGAGGGGTGTCCAGGGATTCCTCTGTATCATTAGTTTTTATATCTATCTGGTGCTTGAGGCTGAATGATGAGTCGTCCTTTCTTGGAGTCTCATCGACTTCACTCAAAATGTGGTTGACTTTCTGTTTTAGATTGTTCACTTCTTGAGTCTTGTCTGAAGTCAAAGAATAAAATAATAAATATATATATATATATATATATATATTAAAAAAAGATCACTATTTAATTTAGCCCATATTTAAGGGATAGTTCACCCAAAACTGAACATTTTGCCATTTACTCACCCTCAAGTCGTTCCAAACCTATATCCAAACCTGTATTCCAAAGTTTTCTGTTGAACACACAAGAAGATATTTTAAAGAATTTTGGTAACCAGAGAGTAGACGGCACTCACTGACTTCCATAGTAGGGAAATGAATTCTATAGAAGTCAACTCTGGTTAACAACATTCTTTAAAATATATTCTTTTCAACAGAGGAAAGAAACTCATATTTGTAACAACATGAGGGTGAGTAGGACTAAATGATGAGTAATTAAAACACGAATGGATGGACTTACTTTGAACTGGTCCTGGAATTTCTTTCGCCAAATCTGTGGTATGTAAAACAAACATTTGTTAAAGGGGACAGATTAATAGAGAAATGGACATTTAAATGGTATTTACCTGGAGAATTTTTTGGTGCAAAACTACTGAATGCCTGTGACAGTGAAACTTGTAGTCAGACATGTGTGGTAAATTTGAAGTCACAGAGAGAAAGTGAGTTGCAAACTTGTAGATTTTTTTTTTAAAAAAATGTTTTTATCTTTTTTTTATCTAAATAAAATTACAAACAAAATATTAATTTACAAAAAAAATATATCAAAAAATAAGGTTTAAGGTTCCACTTTTACCTAAAACCAAAGATTTAGAATATAAATACATGAACCATTACCATTCAGTTTATTTATTGCTAAACTTATAAAGCTTTACAACTGTGTCATATCTTGCAATAATCTCTGGGAAATAACTCCACAGCCATATCAGTGTCCAAATAAACATTTTGCACCCTAAACTGATATTTCTATTTGTCATGTTCTTTCTTTGACCATGTTGCTCTGAATGCTCTGTGTGATCATTACATGATCTACTTCTGACTTGAACTATTGAAAATGAAACCTTTAAACTTTGTTGGATCATGTTAAAACATGACATTCAGGCATTTTCATCAGATTTGCATGACAAAAGTTTGGAATCACTAAAGAGATAATGTTATACTTTTATAGCAATCCTGCAAGGTCAATTTCCACACTTCATTAAACAGCACAACCATTTTACACTGTGATAATAATAATAATAATAATATATATATATATATATATATATATATATATATATATATATATTATATATTAGATAAATCTTGGTACCTTTCACCACCTTAATACCAAACTTTTGAACAGTAGTGCTTGACATGACTTGTCCAGGACTTCGAATTTACTAATACACATGTGTGGCGGCTATATTTTCTAAATTTCACTGTCATAGGCGTTTTACACCAAAAATACCTACAGTATATTTAAAAGCCAATTCATATTTCCTGTCACGGTAAGCTACTTTATTTCGTTACTCTTTAGCGCCTCAAGTGGCTGAATTAAAGTTAAACACTTCAGGTGCTTCGTTTCTAGAACTGATTGAACGGCTAAAGAGAAAACGACACATCTTTGTTCTTTGTAAGTTCAAATCTGTCGTGAACCTGGCTGTATGGATTATGTGTCTAACTTGTATGTGAATGTGAACCACCAACAAGTTTAAAAGAAAAATCGAAAGTATTATTTTCCCACTACGGGCACAAACGTTTTGTTTCAATGATCCCAGTCGTACGCGAAGCGCGACATCGTGTATGCGCCTGCTTTTATTGATAATGACGTTGTGTTTTAGCAGTGAAAACAGCTGGACAGTGTGGCAGAGATGTCGAAGGCACATAAGAAGGCAGGCAGTGAGTCTGGGAGGATTGTAGCTCCACGATGGGAAGAACCTCAAGGTAAAAAAGACACGACATAACATGCGCACGAACACACAATGGCACTGTTTACATTCGCCTTCTTTTTTTACCTGTTAAATAGATTTCTGTAACCCTGACAAACTGCTGTTGTGCCCCTATGACCCACATCATCTGATCCGGGCCTGTCGGTTCCCCTACCACCTCATCAAATGCAGGAAGGTGTGTGTGCTGTGCAGAAACCGATCGCACAATCATTATTTATGCATCTCCACATGTAAAGCAATAAGCTTTCTTTAGGCCATAATCCATTCTGTATAGTTTAAATTTTAACATGCGTAAGACATTTAAGTTTAAAAGTTAATTTAATTGAGTAACGTTAGATTAATAAAAAGTTAGTGTGATGTCAATGAGGCTTATAAACCTACCTGTTATTCTTTAGTTCTTGAATAACACTGCTAACTCAACTACAGTAGCAAACATACATGACTTTAAATTTAAAGTTTTTTTTTTTTTTAAATAACAAATTTCTAAAAAATGCTAATAGTCCAGATGTAGGCCCACAACATATAAATTGTCTACTTGTATGCAAATTAATGAGGAAATCTGTAGCACTCAGTGACACATTATTAGACAGACGATGGATTGGAACCAAACAGTTCTGGGCCCGTATTCTGAGTAAGGAAAAGACAAAAACTATCATCTTATTGAGGAGGCAGGGCTGACCCCGTTGCGATATATGACACAATTTTTTGAAGACTGGTTGGTTGTTAAAGAAAGTGTGATTTTAAGTATAGGGTCTATTCTAAACCTTTACTTTGAAATGACATGCACAATTTACCTATTTGACCGTTCTCTCTCTCTCCCACACACACACACACATGTAAATTCTTTTTCTTTTTTTAAATATTTACCATGCTGTTCATTTCCTATAAGGTATTGGATTGGCTTAGAACGATGAAAATTGTTCCGCTCTTTCCAATTACACTGATAGCTGGCATGTCTATTTAAGTGGTGGTTTGAATGTTGGTTTTAATGTAACAAACATGGAATCAAAACCAAGAAGGATGAGAAAGCCTGACTAGACAGAGGAACAGTGTTTACTGTTAGCCCAGTTAGTGGATGAACACAAGGCCATCCTTAAAGGAACATTCGGGCCGGGTGTCAATCTATAGGGTCTTATTAAGTCACTGTCATCCATTGTCTGCAACACATTTCTTCTCCCTCTTCGTCTTTCTGCCATTTTCTCCTCTGCTAAAGAAACTCTTAAAAGTCCTATTACGTACTCCTAACAATTTGGACCTTAAAGAAGTCATGGACTGGACTTTTAAAATTTTTTATATTGTTTTCTGATGTCAACTTATGATGTTCGCTTGGTTTTTACATTTAAAAAAAACATAAATATGAATAGGTAATAGGCTATTTTGTACCATAGTTTTGAGCCCAGCTCAAAAACGCTCGGTTTTTATGGGTGTCTCACATTGAAGACTTGGAAGTAAACAAAAAAAAAATTACAAAACAAGTAAAAAAAAGTGGATAACAGTTTTGCATATTATAATGAATTTCACTCTTGATCCGGTTTGTCATCACAAGGTAGGCATCTATGTTATTTATCTATGCGTGTATTGCGCAAATTGGGCAGGGCTAAACTGGCCGTGTTGAAGTAGGCGTCCATCTTCTTCTGCGGGGTGGTGTTTTATCCTCTTTGACATCATAGTTCCCCACTTTGAAAAACTCTGAGCCTGGTGTCAATAAAAGCTTTTATTGGACTAACAAGGACGTTTTTAGTTCTGAAACTTACAGGATATTCTTATAATATGGTGACATCTTAGATGTCAAAAGCTCAAGGAAAATTTTATTTCTCAGTTCATCGCCACTTTAAGACCTCTTTTAAGGGTTAAGATGCTTTCTGATTTAATTTTGAAAGTAAACGCCCACATTTCTAAGAATTTTCTTCGAATTTTGTCACTAGGAGCTAATCTTTGCATTAAGATTCTTTGTGAATACGGGCCCTGAACTTTAAGTGTATATTAAAAAGTATGTGGTTGTAATGCAAGCACTGATAATGCAAATCTAGTTGTTAAATCAATGTTCGATGTTAAATCAATGACCGATAGTTTAAATTTTATTTTATTTAAACCCTATTTTATAAATTAAATTATTGATCTTGTGAATAATTGAATTGACCTATACTAATGTTTTTGGATCTAGTCTGGTTAAACCCTGCCCCTTTTTACAAACGACTGCAAGCTTGCATTCAGATCTGTCTCTACCTAATCAAAAATTGATGGGAAAAAAACCACGTTTCTGTCCTATTTTTATTCTTTTTCAAAAATCTGACTGTTTTAGTCAAATGCACATCACAATATAGAAGAAAAGATCTGTCACTACCTCTGTTTCATCGTGATGTTGAAACTAGTGCTGTTAGATGTCTGTGATCTTAATATCATTTGTAGAATCACCCTGAGTTGATCAGTGAATTATGGACATGTCCATTCAATGCGCGCCACTTGATGAGAAAAGATGAGCTGTCCGATCACATCCTAACCTGTGTGGACCGATGCTCTGTTAGGGAGTCCTACGGTAAGATCTTTTTTATTTTCATGATATTTGATACTGCAGACACACACCATGCACAAATGAATCTGACATTCAGTTGTACACTGAACTGATCTCAGTCTCCTTTGCAATTTTAAAAGTCGCCAGTGAGAAGACTGATAGCAAGTTTCAAATCCCAGTGAGCACCTGGACTGCACCCGTATGTGATGAAGACTGGGATGAAGGTAAGACTCTGAGTTAAAGTCACCATGAAATCCAAATTTACATTACTTAGTTTTTAATGGAATATTGCAGTATTTATTTATTAATTGTTTTACTTTTTTCACATTCACACACACTCTTAATCTTTAATAAAAAAAAACTTAAGAAAACAACCTCGCTCTTGCAACAACATCTCTATTGACGTGTTTTTCGGCAGGCTGTCACGATAACCTGTCTCTCACATGACATCACAGCAATAACAAACCACAACGATCCAAACACTTTGATAGTACAAAATGTGCAAAGATTTGTTTGTATGGTGTATAAACATTAACATCTGATGTCTGCGTCTTACAGAAGTGGACAAGCATGCAACCGCAGCGCCATCTTTTGTCAGGGATGTGTCCAAATCGCTTCCTAAGGACAGGTCAGTGTAAAGCAGGGGTTCTCAAATCACTATCTGGCCCTCGTGATCCACTTTCCTGGAGAGTTTAGCTCCAACCTTGATCAGTCACCTGCCTATAACTATATAAAGAGTTCAGATGCAAAAGCCTCTAAATGCCATTTGAAATTTTCTTCTTGAATGATGATTTTTATCAAACTTGTATATTTAAGTTCAGTAATTTCACTTAAATAACAATTAATAGGTAATTATCATTGCCATTTAAGTGAAATTACTGAACTTAAATATACAAGTTTGATAAAAATCATCATTAAAGAAGAAAATTTCAAATGGCATTTAGAGGCTTTTGCATCTGAACTCTTCATATGTAAACCTACCTGTTTCTAGTAATCCTGTATACCCTCATTCACTATTCCTTACATTAGTCCTCTAATATAGTTCACTTGAGGGAGTAAATGAAAATTCGGCAAATTCGGAAGGGCTGCCGCTTTTGCATAGACACGCATCACGATAATGAACATGTACACTAATGTTATTGTGGGCACTTTAAAATACAGTGAATAATTATTTATTATGAATTACTGCATTTTAAGAATACTTAAAGGGGTGGTGATGGCGCAGTGGATAAGGAACATGTCTTTGGTGTGAGAGACCCGGGTTAGAATCCACTGTGAGACACCAATAAAAGACACTTAACCCTTAGTTGCTCCAGATGCATGCAACCTCTGACATATACACTCACCGGCCACTTTATTAGGTACCCCATGCTAGTAACGGGTTGGACCGCCTTTTGCCTTCAGAACTGCCTCAATTCTTCGTGGCATAGATTCAACAAGGTGCTGGAAGCATTCCTCAGGGAGTTTGGTCCATATTGACATGATGGCATCACACAGTTGCCGCAGATTTGTCGGCTGCACATCCATGATGCGAATCTCCCGTTCCACCACATCCCAAAGATGCTCTATTGGATTGAGATCTGGTGACTGTGGAGGCCATTTGAGTACAGCGAACTCATTGTCATGTTCAAGAAACCAGTCTGAGATGATTCCAGCTTTATGACATGGCGCATTATCCTGCTGAAAGTAGCCATCAGAAGTTGGGTACATTGTGGTCATAAAGGGATGGACATGGTCAGCAACAATACTCAGGTAGGCTGTGGCGTTGCAACGATGCTCAATTGGTACCAAGGGGCCCAAAGAGTGCCAAGAAAATATTCCCCACACCATGACACCACCACCACCAGCCTGAACCGTTGATACAAGGCAGGATGGATCCATGCTTTCATGTTGTAGACGCCAAATTCTGACCCTACCATCCGAATGTCTCAGCAGAAATCGAGACTCATCAGACCAGGCAACGTTTTTCCAATCTTCTATTGTCCAATTTCGATGAGCTTGTGCAAATTGTAGCCTCAGTTTCCTGTTCTTAGCTGAAAGGAGTGGCACCCGGTGTGGTCTTCTGCTGCTGTAGCCCATCTGCCTCAAAGTTCGACGTACTGTGCGTTCAGAGATGCTCTTCTGCCCACCTTGGTTGTAACGGGTGGTTATTTGAGTCACTGTTGCCCTTCTATCAGCTCGAACCAGTCTGGCCATTCTCCTCTGACCTCTGGCATCAACAAGGCATTTCCGCCCACAGAACTGCCGCTCATTGGATGTTTTTTTCTTTTTCGGACCATTCTCTGTAAACCCTAGAGATGGTTGTGCGTGAAAATCCCAGTAGATTAGCAGTTTCTGAAATACTCAGACCAGCCCTTCTGGCACCAACTATCATGCCACGTTCAAAGTCACTCAAATCACCTTTCTTCCCCATACTGATGCTCGGTTTGAACTGCAGGAGATTGTCTTGACCATGTCTACATGCCTAAATGCACTGAGTTGCCGCCATGTGATTGGCTGCTTAGAAATTAAGTGTTAACGAGCAGTTGGACAGGTCTACCTAATAAAGTGGCCGGTGAGTGTATAGCACTTGTAAGTCGCTTTAGATAAAAGCATCAGCTAAATGAATAAATGTAAATGTACTTTTCCCATCAACTGGGTAAAATGCACCACACTGCTGTATGCTCCATCTAAGAGGCATGTGTGCAAAAAAGCCCAACATGGATGAGAAGCAATGTTTCAAACAGCCATTCCGATTTTTGTATTTGCAATGGTGTTCATCGCAGCACCAAATACTTTGACTTAATAGGCTATTTATTTTCAAACTACAAGATGCCCTAGATATTGATTGAAAATGTTCTGATTCCTTAATTATTCTTCGGTAACACTTTACAATAAGGCTCCATTTGTTAACATCAGTTAATTAATTAGTTAACATAAACGGACAATGAAAAAAACCAACAACTTCTAAAGCATTTATTAATCTACATTTCAACATTTAATAACACATGTTTTTATTTTTATTAATTAAGGTTAATAAAACCTTAATTAGAATAACAAAGAATAACTTCTGTAACAGATTTAGCTATTGTTAATGTTAGTTAGTGACTATAATCTGTTCAAAACATTTGTTTGCTTGATATTTTTTTTAGTATTGCTTTATTGTATTTAAATGTTCTCTTTGTTCTAAGAAAAAACAGTTATTAAACCTTGTTAAAGTATAACAACACTTATTTCAATGTTGTGACCATATATTATGATAAAAGCTTCAGCAATTATCGCAACATGAAAATTTTATACCGTCACATAGCTACTTTTGCAGTAGTAGTAAGATCTGTCATGGAAACTAGCATGTATAAACCTTAAATAAACAATTTAAGAACCAATTAAAAAGGAATTTATACCTGTATATTATTTATGGTTTGGAAAATGGATGGATGGATTCTGGCAATCTTCTGGCAAGACATAATTCATTCATTTGGTGTGACTGTCACAGTGCATTGTATATTTTCTAGCTGTTAAAGGGTTAGTTCACCCAAAAATGAAAATTCTGTCAGTATTTACTCACCCTCATGTTGTTCCAACCCCGTAAGACCTTCGTTAATCTTCGCAACACAAATTAAGATATTTAAGATATTAAGATCGCTCCTGCATACAGTCCATAGGCTTCTTGAGGTACTGGCTCTTGCTGTCCTCGAAAAGTCATTAAAGACATCGTTAAAATAGTCCAAGTGACTACAGGGGCTCAATCTTAAGTTTATCAAACGACGAGAACACTTTTGTGCGCAAAAAAACAACAAAAATAACGACTTTATTTCAACTATTCGTTTATTTCTCCCTCTGCGCGAGTCAGGTTACTAGTTTAATAGCGTAAGCTTCTGTTATTGTACGTCACACGCATCACACACACATGACCAGCATCGGCCAATAGTGAGCCTACGTGTGACGTAGCTCTACGCAATCACACTACGTTAACTGACTTACAGGCTCATGGAGAAGGAAGTGAATAGTTGAAATAAAGTCGTTATTTTTGTTGTTTTTTTGCGCACAAAAGTGTTCTCGTCGTTTGATAAACTTAAGATTGAGCCCCTGTAGTCACTTGGACTATTTTAACGATGGCTTTAATGACTTTTCGAGGACAGCAAGAGCCAGTCCCTCAAGAAGCCTATGGACTGTATGCAGGAGCGATCTTAATATCTTAAATATCTTAATTTGTGTTCCGAAGATGAACGAAGGTCTTACGGGGTTGGAACAACATGAGGGTGAGTAAATACTGACAGAATTTTCATTTTTGGGTGAACTAACCCTTTAAGCATACATTGGTTGTTCACTCGTTATTGTGGTGCATTGTGGGATTTATAACGTCCACTATGGTTTTGTACATCACTACAAATGGCTATCCCTTCAAATAGTGCCCTATTTAAGGGTATAGATTGATTTCGGACAAGGCTCTTGATTAGCTTTTTCAGGTGTGTTTGGAGGGTTGGAGCAAAACTCTGCAGGAAAGTGGAACTCGAGGCCCAGAGATGAGAAGCCCTGATGTAGGGCTAACAATGTTACCGAGGCTGTGTCTCATTTTGAAGGCTGCGTCCTCCGGAGGTCGCATTTGTCGTAGGACCGTTGTTCCTTGTGAAGCATAAATAGTTTTCTGACTTTGTATGTAATGGTTTCTTTTCTGAAATGAGGCAGCTTCAATTACATATTTGGCCGACACATGCAACCTCCAGTGAGCAGCTTGAATCATATGCCAGTGGTCCCCAACCATGGTCAGATAAGAGATAGTTAAAAATGTGCAGTGTTGGGGTTACTCCAGGACCAGGGTTGGGAACCACTGTATTATACCATAGCATTTAGACTTCTAGTTAATGTAGTTGGTAATAGACCATCATTTTGATCAGATTGGTTAAAGGCAAACAATGGAATCATGAACTCCTTATCTCTCTTTATATTAGGGAGAACAACTGCATTTCCAGAAATGTGATTTCTGGTCTCAGGGCACCACGAATTCTTCCCTGGACGAGCAGCTGTACTGATTTTTGAGCTTTTTAATACATCCACCATGTCAAGACTACTAATTTTCATTCACAATGAATACTGATAGTGTTGGTTGCTTGTTTTGCCATTTTATTGTGTAGGTCACTAGTTCTTGTAGTAATAAATTAGTTCCCTAATCTTTAGTTCAGTTTCCCAAAGGTGGAACAATAGAGGTGGTTTAGGTTCTGTTTACACCACACAAAAGAAAAGCTTACGACCAGGATATTTAGAAGGCTTCAGTTGACGTGTTTTGTGTTGTCATAGTTGCTTTGTGGCTGTAATTCTACCTCTGTGGTCTCTTATGAATGCCATCCTATTTTTCCTTGACAAATGCTTATACGAGAGCAGATACTGTAGTATCATTTATAAATGTTAAGATTCAAAAACCTGTGAGCCTTACCAAGTTTGTAGTTTGTGCCGACATCACTCTGGCATATTTTCTTCAATAAAGAAATAGTCTCCTCTTTAATTTTGTCCTGATCCAAGGTAATAATTTGTTTGTCCTCGTCTTTCAAGAATATGTCAGATGATCTATGATGGAAGTTATCACGAGTTAAACTGTTACGTTTTAGACATTCTACTATAAGTAACTGCAACTTCATGTCAGCTAACTCTCATTAGAGTATCAGGAGACTGTTAGGGTTCAGATTAGTAGAATAAGTTGACATAGTTGTAAAGTAACAGCATCAAAGATGTTAGCATATATAGACGCTTTCATCAGACGCGTTGCCATGGTGACGAGCTGGCCCAAAGTTAACTTCCGTTCTGTTCGTTTATTAGTGTTTACTGGATAATATGGCATTGACTACAAATGCAGTGAAAGTTAAGGTGATGAGCAAGTTGTTGAGCTGTGGGGTGCAACCTGACCTAGGGAGCAAACGCAATTTTTAAAAATAAAAATGTCAAGGTTTCCTATGAGGGAGACGGCCGTATTAAAATAGCCTATGTTTATCTGAGTGATAACCAGTACAGTGTTTCCCATACATTTATTAGTGGCAGCCCACCACATTATCAGCGCTGACCGCCACATATTGATTTCCGTGTTTTTAACAATTTAAGATGGGAAAAGTAATTGACTGCAGTCAGAGTTGCGTGCAGCGTATCACTCTCTCTCTCTCTCTCTCTCGCAAACACATTGACAGCGGACCAGTCTGTGTGTATTGAATGGTTAGTATCATAAACAGCGCTGCACAGATCCATCCAACATGCTGTCAATGTGGAGACCCACCTTAAAAAAAGGTTAGCAAGCATGTAAGAAGCCTAGCTAATAAGGAGAGCTATGTTAACCTTATCAAACCCCGCCGTCGCGCTCGCCACAGTTTTTTTTTAACACTGCGGTAAATCAGACACGTCGGTAGAAAAACATCTTGTCTCCAATTTTTGTTCAACGGGTCTGGTAATGTCACATTTCAGTTTGGCCAGGTAACGTTAACATTTATTTTCTTTGACTGGCAAGAAATACCAGCTACTAGGTTATTTACTTGTTATGGGTTATGGATTGTCTCCGCAAGTCTGCCGGAAGTTAAGTTTGGGCCAGATTAATGCACATGCGCAGTACCGTTTGTTTATGTTGTCACTGTTGAAAGCGATGCAGCTTTAATGAGAGTTAGTTGACATTTGTAGTTGCAAAATAAAGTGTTACCACACTTCGAAGTCAGACAGAAAACAACTAAATATTCATAAAATCACACAAGCACTTACTCACAAAATGAACCGGTTGCTTTGACCAGGTTGGTTTTGACAAGTCCGATATCCCCAGTTTTCTCAGATTTTCCCATAAACCATTCAAAACAGGCCACCAGCAGGCCCAGGATGATGATGCGTTCACCAGCCTGGAAACTCAGTTCATCTGGCCCGTCAGCCTCATACTCCTCTGTGGTCTCACAGACCCCTACTGCTGTGAGAGATATTGTTACAAGTGGGGTAGAGGTACAAGTGGACTGGGAAGATGACAATGCTGCACTTTAGTGCAAAAATATAATTGCTAAAAGAAAATATCTACAGCTTTAAGTCTCAAAGAATCCAATTGATTATATACTGTAAAATCTCAACCTTCTACATATAAATCGTAGAGTAGAGCCTTTTTTTCTAATTATTTCAACTTTAAAGCCTCTTGCTTTACTTTTCTATTCATATACAATTATGCTATTTGTACTAATTAACTTGCAAGTGACACATGTAATGTGCATATGTGTAAGAAATAAGGTTGTTTTCCCCTTTTTTAATAATTTCAATACTCAATTCAAAGTTGCCAATCTTGTACATCTAATGCAATTTAGTTTTTATTTATCTTTAGTATTCTATGATAGCTGTTGAAATTAAAATAAATAAATACTATTATCCTGAAAAATGCATTAAATGGGCTATATGCACGCATAAGTTCCGCATTTGACGCAAGGATGCTCGTCCATTTCCGGTTGTGGAGATTTAAGTGGAGGAGAACCGAGGAAAACGAGATTATGGCAGAGTCTTCAAAATTTACTGTCCTCCCGTCTTTGAAACGAAACGTACATACGTTTAGATGTAATTTTATATAGTTATGTTTATTTAATATAATTTTAAAAAGAAGCATAAACACAACGAGGGGTGTGTTTTATCTGTTTTTGTGACTAACGTTTCTTTATTATAACCATGGATATAATATATAAAATTCAATATAAATTCTCGGTATTGCATTGAACTCTACGATCGGCGGAAGTTATCGAGCATCCTTAATCTTTCACCGGAAATACCGCCGTGCATAGAGCCCATTGATCAGAAGTGAGAGGAAAGACTTTTACTATACTAATAAGATAATAAGAAATGTTTCTTAAGCACCAAATAATTTTATCAGAATTTTATCAGATATCTGAAGGATCATGTGACATTGAAGAGTGATGATGCTGAAAAATCAGCGTTGCCGTTACTGAAATAAATAACAGCTTGCATTGCATTATTTCACATTATAAAACGGTTAGTTCCAATCCTTGATTCTGATTGGTCAAAAGCTGTGCTTCATTCATGATAATCCTATTTATCACTGCAGTTCCTATGTTGTTTTTATTTGAGCTTTCATGCAGATTACACATTGGAACATTGTTGCTGTTCCCGGTCAGGGACTATTTTTTTTAAGTGGAAGGAAGGCTTTTAGGGATTTTGCTTTATGAAAGTTGCACAAATACATATTTGTTTACTTTAATATTTGTATTATGTGGTAACTATTTTATAAAAGCAATAAGGTATTCAAGGCAAGTGCTGTTTTGTGAATAACTAATGACGCAAAGCGGAGAATACAGCACAGCCTCTCGTACCTTATTGCTTACATATTAGTGTTTTTACTGTATTTATGATCAAATAAATGCAGCTTTAATGGCACATAAAAGCCTTCTTTTAAAAGAATACCACCCCCAATATTTTGAATGGTAACGTGTATACAGTATATACAAAATAAAGTACAATTATTTAAAAGTTTTCTCACCAATCAGTAATGGAAGGTCACTAGTGTCTTTTCCACCACCCACTAATACAGTCTCTGGGCAGGACTTTAGAAACCACCTTGGGAAGTAAAGACATTTAATTGTTCTTAGTTATGGGTGCTCTGTTGATTTTATGACTATAAGTTCAAATGAAATACAGAAGTTGACACATACTCATGAAAGGGTAAGACTGGCTCCAGAGCTGGTTTTGGCTTGGTTCCTCTAGACCCATCTGCCAGTGAAAGCACTGTCCACCCTGACCCTAGAAATGGAGGCTCAAACAGGGCGATATCCCCCTTCTCCAAATAAAGGTCGCTACCTGAAGTAGAGCTATCAAACATCTGATTTGCTGTGCAGCATCCAAAGAAAGACCCTCAAAAGTAAACAAGACATTTTTATTATAAATAACTTTAGCGAGCTTTAATCTCATTCATTAAGTATAGTGTTCATAAGTAGGGTTGGGTATCGTTTGAATTTGAACGATTCTGATTCCGATTCCTTATTTCGATTCCGGTTCCTAACGATTCTCGATTCCGATTCTTTTAAGAGGCAGGGTCAAAAAAATGTAGCTAATCTTGCTAACCAACGGCCTTTCTGAAGGAAATACTCCTTCTGTAAAAATACTCCTTTTGTCACAAATTTTGCATTTTGCCGAGATTTCGTTATTTTTAGAAAAGTGAAGCCACACTTTGGATCGCCGACCTAAGGTACTCATGTTCGACTCGCGTGGTTATACCAACATTTCCGGTAGACGCTTCTTCGTTGGTGTTGTTCAGCGGTTTCTTCTTCCGCTCGGCGGACTGTGAATATCAAAACTAGGAATCAAAATTTTAACTTTTGAACGATTCCGGGAAAAACGAAAAGTTAGTCTCGGTTCCAATCGATACTCGATTCTCGATACCCAACCCTATTTATAAGCAATATGTATTACCTTCTTGCATTAGAAAGCCTTTATACATCAGATTTAGTGTCTCTTCTTTAATTGAGATCTCAATTCCTGAATGCTGATCAAGAGAGATTAACCAGAACTCCTGATCCATGAGAAGGTTTTCCATACACTGACCCAAGAAGCCTGGAGGAAACGTCATATGAGATATTAAGCTTTAATATACACTACTAGTCAAAAGTTCAGAATCACCAAGATGTTTTTGAATGATTTCTGAAGTGTCGTGTGATACTGAAAACTGGAGTAATGGAGTATAACAGGAATAAATTACATTTTAAAATAGATTTTGAAAAAAAAAAAATCAAAATATTATGTTTTCGATGTATTTTTGATGAAATAGATTCTTTCACGAACATTAAAGAAATCACAATTCCAAACTTTGGCCTGGTATTGTGTGCCGTACTCAGTGTTTACAAAAAAACAATTGCCATTATTAATAAACACAGTATGATACAACATTTTTGAGACACTGAAACAAGAACGGACCCATTCTGTGGTATGTGCTGAACTTCCATATTTCTTCAAGGGTTTTAAAAGTGATAAATATAGTCCTTTCTTCACTGTTGATGGATACAAAGTGAGCGGACATTTCCTGCAAGACAGGGAAACCAGTGTGTTAAATGTGTGTGTTTAAGGTTTTGGATATTTTATGTATTCCAAATAGGGATGCCCATACAGAGATTAAGGTCGTGACCCTTGAGAGGTCAGCTTCCAGCACACAAAGTTTCCTGCTGAGCACTTCCTGTGTGCCCTCATCGGCAGGAAGTCCATCTGGCCCCTCCACCAAAGCCAGCTGCATAGCCAACACTGCAACAGGAAACACATGCAACATTATATCTACCACTGCATCCAACATTAACGGATCAGCCGCCACATGGAAAACATTTCAGTCAGCACTAGTAAATGTGTATGGAAAAGGGATTTAGCTGGTGATGTAATAAACCAATCTGGCCTTTATACTGCTGTAAATCCCAGGTGTAGTTCTACTATATTCAGTTATAAAAAAACAAAACAAAAGATTCATTACTAGACTAGAGCAATATTCATGGTTCAATCCACATTTTAGATTTTGGATTTTACCAAGTCATGTGATGTTTCACTGCTGTGTGTAACAGAGCGGGTTAATAAGTGACAGTCAATGGGCTTTGTAAAGTACAATGATCTCTAAAAGTTACTTTTTTTTGGAGTGTCACCAGAGCAGGTCAGAGTTCAATTAGATGGATAGATCACCAAACAATTAAAATTCTGTCATCATTTGCCCACCCTTTCTTCTGTGAAACATAAACAAAGTTATTTTGAGGAATGACTCTGGCTGCATGCGAAATCACATACTGTATTTCCCTTCTAGCATGTGAAAGAGTATCTCCATTCCTGTCACATAACAGTTCAGTATGTTGCCATCCACCTATTTTATATGAATTTTGGGATATCATATAAAAACGCTGCATGGAAATGCAGAGATTAATACAAATTGATAAATTTAACAAATGTGCACAAATAAAATGTGCTATACAAATAAACTAAACTAACCTAGAATTTTAATTGATATTATTGTGTTATTATATAAGGTAAATGGAGGTCTTTTACACTAAACAAGATTTATTCCCGTCAGCCATAGTGTATTAAATTAGTTCATTTATAATATATAGAGAGCTGGGGTTACCTGTTGGTATATTATCATCAGAAGCTCCTGAAGTTCCTTTGACACTTCCTCTTGAGGTCTTAAAACCTGAAAAGTAATTTGCACACTCCCTTAATCTTGAGCCTTACAATGATGTGGATCATTTCTGTTTCTTATTCACTATAAGCGTCTTAAGGGGAAAAAAAATGTATAGGCCTTCATCCGACTTACAGAAATACTGTGGTGAAGTCTACATTTAAACTTTATTAATTATTACTTAATTATACAGGAAACTATAAGGATGGAAATAAATAACTAATGTTAGCCATGGCTTATTAACATGGAGGTAACATGCATGACAACTAATTATGCTATTTGATGTTTTATTACTAATAATTTTGTTTGTGCTGTTGCTTTCCCACCAAAAAATGTTAATATCACTTCCTGGCTTAGTTACAGGTTGCCTATTTTACAAAAGACTAACAGGATAGAATGTGAAATGAAGGACAGACAAGGCCAGTGAAATGATGATTAATTAAAAAAATATTCATGAGATAACATGGTTTTTTTTTTTTTTTTTTTTTTTTTGCATTTTAAGAGAGAGAGAGAGAGAGAGAGAGAGAGAGAGAGAGGCCGTAATAACCAGGGATGTAGGCCTAGAATATAAGAGTGTATACAACTTGTTAAGAATTCGTTTTTTTTTTCTCTCTGTCTCTCTCTCTCTCTTTCTCTCTCTCTCTCGTTTAGGCTAATTCTCTATGTTGGTCGTTCAGCTCAAGCCCCTACCTTTAAATGAAGACTCCATACTATCCCGTTCATTATGTGTATACTCATCAGACAGCTCTCTACGTATCGTCCGAATTCTGTCCGGATCGGACCCCACGTCGTTCCTGGTTTTGGACGAGTTTCTACGAGTAGCGGCTGACATCCCGTCACAGTTCCGAGCGGAGGAGCGAATGACTGCGCCGCGCGCTCTTCTCTCAGTCACGCGCTCATCGCACTGACACCATATAAAAGCGCACAGGTGGCAGAACTGATTTTAAGAGCGTGTTACATCATTACTAGACTGCTGTGAGTGACTCCTGTTGTCCTTCTGAACGGTGAAGGTGGAGACAGTGAACGTCCAGAAAAAAACCTCTTGAAAAGAGACTGGCAACAGGTCCATCTCACGCCTGTCGGAGGTGTTAGTCCATGTGATTTTGGCATTAGTAAGTTTTTAAAAATAAATGTGACCTTGACACGCACACGTTTTAGCAAAAGTTAATAATCACAAACTGAGTAAACAATAAGTTTAAAGAAGCAAAGTATCGCTCTGTAGCCTATTATGTGTGTAAACTTGTAGGTGTGTCTCTGTGTAGGCTATTGGATGAACTCAAAAGACTTCAGAGGAAGAGTGTCAACATTTCCCTTTCCTCTCTGGTTGCCCAGACTGAGGGAAAGCAAGGGGTTTTAAAACCCCCTTTATTGTACTTTTTTATGTTGGGGTCAAGCCCTAACCCTAACTGGATTGTTACACACAATTCTCCAAAACTCCTGCTATGAAAAAAGAGCAACCTTTAACATTAACACTTCACACAGTGGGGCCAAAAAGTATTTAGTCAGCCACTGATTGTAGAAGTTCTCCTACTTAGAATAATGAGAGAGGTCTGTAATTTTCATCATAGGTAGGCCTACACTTCAACAATGGCGATCCTGGGCCGTCATACAACTGACGCTTTACCTTTAACGTCACTTAGGTGACGGGTTAGGTTTAGGTCTGGGGTAGAGTTAGGATCCCATACCTCATCTACCGACATTTAAGGGGGCCCTAAAAAGGCGAATATTGACGTATGGTCAAAAGACGTCCCAAAACGTCAGTTATATGACGTCTTGGGATGAGACCGGTTTGGACAGTCCCGTTATGACCGTGGAGGACACCCCCGAGCATGCCTGCTTTGACATGACCCCTGAGGCCAACCCTAACCTTTCTGTATTCTGTGTTCCATTGTCACCTGATCAGTCGTAGTGGTCTCCAGTAATGCCAGATCTGCCCTGGGGATCTTCAGCTCCGACGTGGTGGTCTTTGGCCCCACCAGCTCTGTTGTGGTGGTCACCAGTGATGCCTGCTCCACCGCGGTGGTCCTCGGCTACGGTTTGATGATCTTCTGCTCCAACATGGGGAACTTCAGCCCTTTCTACTCTGCTGTGGTGGTCTTCAGTCCCATCAGCACCAGCCAATTACCCCTTGTGTATTTAAACCCCATGTGTTTCTTGTGTTCCTTGTAGATGTCTTGTCTTACATGCATTTTATGTTTGGTTCTCTCATTCAGCTCCCTGGCTTCCTGGTTCTCCCTGTTGGTGTTGTTATTATGTTTACTTTTTTAAACTCACTGCATTTGGATCCAGCTCTCCTTTATTTTTTTAGTTCACTCAACGTAACTGTGGTCATAAAGGAATGGACATGACAGCAACAATATCAGGTAGAGCAAGTGTAACAGAGGCCAGCTAGTAGTTGCTGTGCGAGTAAACCTCACTCCCCGATCTCAATAGGCGCTCTAGCGACAGACACTAGAGGCTGATGTCTTTAGCCTCCTTGTTAGCGCGCCTGACTCTCATGCCGGAGACCCGGGTTCGAGGCCGAGTTAGACCCGGGTGTGAGGGTTTACACAAGCTATGCTCATTTGGTACTAAGGGGCCCAGAAAGGTGAAAAATATTCAGTTAACCATTACACCATCACCACCAGCCTGAACCGTTGATACAAGGCAGGATAGATTCATTTTGTTTACACCAAATTCTGACTCTATACCATCTGAATGTTGCGGCAGAAATCGAGACTCATCAGACCCTGGCAATGTTTTTCCAATCTTCTATTGTCCAATTTTGGTGAGTCGTGTGAATTTTAGCCTCAGTTTCTTGTTCTTAGCTGACAAGATGGCACGTCCACAACAAGCAGATTTACGAGTTACTGCGTTTGAATCAGCTCAGACCAGTCTGGCCATTCTCCTCTGACATCTGGCATCAGCAAGGTATTTTCATCACATGTTCATCACAGAACTGCTGCTCACTGGATATTTTATGTTCTCTGAAAATCCCAGATCAGCAGTTTCTGAAATACTCACACCGTCTGACAGCAACAACCATGCCGTTCAAAGTCACATAAATCACCTTTCTTTCCCATTCTGATGCTCAATTTGAACTTTAGCAAATCGTCTTAATCATCAACATATAAAAGGATTAAGTTGCTACAATGTGATTGAGTGATTAGATACTTGTTGTGTTAACCAGCAGTTAATCGGATAACTTTAGTGGTCAACATACAGAATACATTGTGAGTGTCACAATGCAGAAGAAAAGACTATCACAACTTCTGTTTAATGCTGAATTTAACTGTAAAATTAGGGCTATTGTAATACTGTAAAGCACTTTAAACAGAAGAAGTGTGGAAAACCACCCATACAAAGCTCAAATAGCTCAAACAGTATAGAATGGTGCTAACAAAGTCCATGGGTTTAAATCCCAGAATTGAACATGCACGAACTGATAATTTACACATTCAGTGCAGTGTCAGTTTCTAGAGTCTGCCAAATAACTGTAACAGTTTTTTTTTGGGGTTTTTTTTTTTTTTTTTTTTTTTGGTCTGTGCATCTGCCTTTAAACGAGCAGGGTATGCTTATTCTATATGGACATAGAAAGAAAAAAAACAAAAAAAAAAAAACAAGTCAAATGTGGTGATGCCAATTATATTAATGAGACCTTTTGGTTTCTAAACGATGTCTGGGTAGCCTAATGTCAGATTTTAATTTTATTTTAACTAAGCACTATATATTTTAAATTCAATGGGGCGTGACGTTTCTCTATAATTCAGACGATATCAACGTTTACCGGAGTTATGTTGTTCTACGCTGGTCGTAATAGACCCAATCTCAATCTTTTAAGAGATAAAAATTAGTTCATAAAAATATACAATTTTACTATTAGTTTATCATAAACCTTTCTTTGTAATTACAATTTTTAAGTCTTGATTCCTGAGGTTTAAATTGAGCATTTGCGTTTCTGAAGCGCCCTCTGGTGGAAGCTGCGTTATCATCCTGCTTACTGTTTTAATGGTCTACAAAACTGATGCCAACAATTGAACGTTGAATTAGGATTAGAATATGCTTTCATAAAAGCTTTCAAATGCTGAAACTGCACATCGATTCGCTATTTTTCTACGTTAATCACAGTAAATTGCGAGCAAATTATCTTCGAAAACAACATCGTTTTTCGAACAACAGAAGTTCTAGCGCCACCGTTTAAGAGATTAAACCGAAGATATCCTAAACATTTGAATGCCGTTTTATTACCAGGGTAAAGGAACCGTACAACAACAGTACAATAGTATACAGTAGGCCTACGGCATAAATGCCAAAGTAACTTAGCCTATGTCTGAATCATGTACAGTACAGTAACCTGGCAGTTCTGGTACCTGCTTCTGCTGTGTGTAGTGCGCATGCGCGTTGTGTGTGATTACAGATGGTATGGTTGTGAGTGTGAGTAGGTTTCAGACAGCGGGACTGCCTGCGGGACAGACCCATAGACCGCGAGGAGGACACCGGCCGCGATCAGTGTCAAAGAGCCAGTCGCTGTCATCTTGGCCGAGCCACACACATATAAAGCGGTAAGACTCAAGACATTGTGGGAATTTATGGACTCGCTGCTTTATATTTAAGAAGCTTTGGTGGAAGAAATAGGCGCGTCCGAGTGTCAGTTTATTTCTACTATTCTTGTAACGTTAATTTTGATTGACAGTGAGCTAGTCTGCGACTAATCACCCGGTTCAAATCAGTGAAATAAAACTGAAACGCATTTAAAACAAGTTTTTTACAGTGGGATATTCGGGATTTTATTGTCCTTAGTAAGCGGACAACGCTCGCGACAACAGTTGGTCAAATTCTTTCACACGTTCACTGTACAGATCATTCATTTTATGTCAGCTATCTTGGTGTACACTAACTTTCATAGAACGTTAATTAAATCAAATAATTTAAGTATAAAAGATCTGTGTAATATATAGCTATTTAAAATAGTTTTTGATGGCGACTGCTGTCAACGATAAAGGGTGTGTCTCTATCAGTCCTGAAAACAGCAGTCGTCAACGTTCCCGTACGTGTCGTTCACTCGAGGTCTGGCCTCTTATTACTTTCTCTTTCAGTTTATGGGAATGATGCTCTCTCGTTGTGCTACAAGTGTGTTGGCAAATATCACGGACATTTTTAACACGGATCCACCACAACACTTGTGGATGTAAAGGAAAGGAACGGTCACAACAATTACCAGTAGCTAAGTCTTACAGTCCAGTTGTTAAATGCTGTTTAGAAAAGTTATATTAGGCTAATTATCATACAACATGACACTGCTATCACTATTTTGCATGTCTTGTCAGTTACCTGAAGCTTCATGGTTTAGTAAATATATATATAATATGGTATTTATTACAAGATCATCTCTGTAGTGTGTTATTTATACTTCATGTTGTATAATGTACAAATGCACTAAACTGCAACTTAATCATTACAAATGTGTAATTACAAATATATTTAAATACGTTACATACAAGTGTCAATAGAAACTATTAATGTTTGTCAGAACATACAACAGTACACTTTACCTATATTTCAAAGACAATATACGTAAATAAGGTTGCATTTAATGTGTGTAAAACATATGTAAGGATCCACTGAAGGCAAGTTGAAGCGAGAGAACTCAAGTGCAGTTTATTCAACAATAACATATAACAGGATCAAAACAACACAAAAGCATGACGTGGCATGAAACAAAACCGTGGACATAGACTTGCACAACAGAGGATCACAGGAAACAATACTTGACAAAGACACTGGCAAACATGAGGGCACAGATACACAGATTAATGACAAGACAAGGGACACTTGTGAACAATGAACAGACAATTAACAAATGACAAGACAGCAGGATCACATGACAAACATGGAACATGACATGAACAAAACCAAAACGTGACAATATAATACATTTTCAGTTGTGTCTGAAAACATATTCAGATCACACTCAAGTACAAAACTCTTGAATAGTACTCTTTTCACAAGGGTTTGAATCTGGTC